CCCCCCCCCCCCACCCCCACTGGATGGAAAATGCATTGTTCCTGCCAGAATAGTTGATACAATACCTGGGGTCAAGAGTTGAGAGAAGCTTCATGAACTATGCAGACTGTGGACACAGACTTCAGGATTATGCTTTCCTGATGATACAGTATATTGAAAACCTGAAAAAAATTCTTAGAGGCTGTACTGTGGATTTGGAGTTCACCTAAGGGCTGGATCTCTGCCCTTTATGAGCTGTAATCCTTTCTCATGGTCCTCCCACATTTATGTGAAATTAGTTATCAAAACAACCCCAGTTGTGTTTTAAATAAAGTCTCTTATTTGAAGTTCCTAAACTCCAGTGTCCTCAGACGTTATTTGAGTAGCCCTTCAAACTAAAAAAAGGAACTCTTTCGAATCTTGGAGGGAGGTTATAGAACTCTCTGGGCTTCGTGGAAACACTGAAATCATTTTCAGTTCCTAAAAACTATATCTTAATGGCTTTCCCCGCAGGGAGTGTTCTAGAACAAAGTAAGACCCTTCATCTGTATTGGTCCCATTATACAGCTGCATTGTACTGGAATACATTGGGGTTTGTGTCTAAAGAGGAGGAGAAATAGGAATGGATTTTTTTGACCTTCTCTAATTTTCTCTCTACATACTGTCCTGTCCTCTGACATTTCATAACTCTGCACAAAGGGCACAATTGCTGCCTAATGTTCAAAAAAATAAAATAAAATGTTGGAAAAAATAAGTGATATGGCAGGATGAATGTGTTCTGTTTTCCACAAAACTTTCCTATAATAAGTGGCTCATCTAATTGACAGTATTAAATGCCCGCTGTTCTCAACTGTGTAATAAACAGAATGTGACTGTGTGGTGCGTTTATATGTGAAGACATTTTTTGTTCAAAACGCAGTGAGATTCTTCTAAACCCACTGAGGGAAGTACCTCAGAAATAAACATTTTGTTAATTACTGTTCATCTGTAACACATTAAAAACCGTAGAATTGTCTTGTGGATGTTACTGCATTTCAGGATCTGTGTTTGTCAACACAAATGTGCCGTATTGTAGTTACATTTAATTTAAGTGGCATAACTGTGCTGCCCTGCTCCATATATTTCCTTTTTTGTCTTTCTTTTATTACTTTTAAAACAAAATCAACAAAGTGCATAAGACACAACATAAGAAAGGTTACGAAAATGACTTGGGAATGCGACTTATCCTGCCCATTTAATTGCTATTTTCAAGCATAATTGATCTACGGATACTGGCTACAGCAACTGCCTGGGTAGCTTGTTCTAGTCCCTTACATCCAACTAACATCATGCACAAAGTACTACATACAGTATACTATATTGAATACAAAAATGGGAGCACAAAACAAGTGAGGAAAAGTACCACAAACATCAAGTATAAAAATGTCCACCCTGAGTGCATATGTGACAGAGGGGATTAGCAACACTCTTCATTTAGAACCACTGCTATGGTGTCGTGTACATTCTCTGTGCAGGTTTGACATGGATTAGCCGATGTGCTGTTTTTCCATGTTTTTCTCATCAGTACCTCAAACTGACATTCCTTTTAAATTTCAGAGTTCACTGGGTGTTGGTAGGCGTTTCCTTTTTCAATCCGCGATTGTCCAGTAATCCTGTGGGCCACATAAAAGCCATTGTTGTTTGAAGACAAACACCTTACATAAGGCCAATGGCAGACAATAGAGTTGTCAGTATAATCAATTAGCGTGAATCACAACGTAGGAGGTGTTTAGCAACTCCTGCTCTTCAGTGGAACATGAGGCAATAGGGCTGTCAGGAATGTGTGTTTTCTAAATGTCGAAAGCAGCTGCATTATCACAGACTGTCCTGTGGCCTCGGCGCTGCCCATGCACCAGGGTCAAAGTGGAGTCAGCCCCTATCTCTGTTACTGCACCAGCTATACACACACACACAATCTATGTCACAAAAGAGATGAAATTCCCAGGTACAGTATGTGCAGCACCACAAACTGCGATTCAGAATGAGGCAGCAAAACGTCCAGTGACTCTATTATATTTTAAACATGCAGACTTGTGAATACCTCTTTTAAGCCAAGAGAAATAGTGCTCCCGGTTTTGAGATGGTTTTGTCGACACATACTACTTGTTAAGTCTGCATGCAGATCATGTTGGAACATTTCTGTGGTGAAATGTCTGTTGCACAACCTGTACTTATTTGCTAGTACATCAAATTACATTACAGTGACTAGTGAGCAGGAAGGGCCACCTTACAATTCTTGCACACTCGATAACATGGTGACAATACAGCACTTTCACTAAGTTCACGATTTTTTCGTTTTAATTGGGGAATTTGTAAAATTTTGCAATACCATGAATTAATTTATTTTGTTATTGAGATTTAATAACCGGTCTGAGAAAGATCAGCAACACCACATTCATCCTTGTCTCTCATGCACCTTACTGTGTTGGTAGAAATGCAGCTTTGGAACGTTTACCTTAACCGAGTTCATCCAGTTCTCAGTATCATCATGGTAAATCAGGAAAAGAGTTGGAAGAAAATGCACTTCCTGGGTCTAGGGGTGTGCTGCTCTATTTTTTAATTGTACAGCCCATTTAACAATTACACTTGACATTGTTTGCCTTCTGATCATTTATGAAGGGTTGGACGATACTACCTGTTTATTCAAACAACATATTCGTATGTTCAAACAACATAAAAATCAGATTTTTTTTTTCTTCCAGAACTATTAGAGTTTAACAGATTAATGAAAGTTTGGGAGGTATGAGAACAGCCAATTTCAATCAACCTCAACTGTCAGCAACTTCTAATCATTCCTGGCATCATTTCCTCGCATAAAAAAAATGATAAATGCTTTGTGTAATCTCTCCTCCACCCCATCTCCACCTCTGCAGATGCTCCTTGGTCACTCCTCACCCTGCATGGGGGTCCCAGCCTCCTCATCCTATGGCCTTGTCAGCAGCTCAAGCCAAAGTTACTGTAACTAACTAACATAACACTCTAAAACTGTTATGAGTAACTACAACACTCATAAACCTTTCAGTGTGCTTCATTCTGGGCTGTTGTCATTCCTAGTGAAACAAAGATAGTCCACACTAGTTTTGTCTTATCTGTGGGAGCAGGTGTTGAGAAAACCATCAGAAGAACTGAAACCATTATAGTATGAAAGTTTTTCTCTTCTTTTTTTTACATATATCCTTACTAAACAAAAACATTTTTGTTAAAAAACATTTTTTAAATTGTTTTGTATTTTTTTTTGTTTTAAAAAAAGTAACAATTTTTTCTTTTTAGCCAATGATGGAAACAAAGATATCCAGCACTGTCTGAGTAATATTCATTACCGTTTTGTAGGATTTTAGTGCAGTTTTATTTGTTGAAGTGGGTGTATGTAGAAGCTCTGATCTGCCTCATCTGAATAGACTTTTGGTCACTGTTTCTCTGTCCTGGTCTTGGTGTCTTCTGGGTTTCATGCTGACTGACCAAGCTCTTGAGCAGACCCAAGTGGTGATTTTTCTGCTCTCTGGACTCCTTTTTTTGAATTTCGATAGTTTCAACACTGTTCTACATTTTTTTAAACAATTCTCACTGATGGTCAATTAAAGATGTGCAGGTGTGATGAGTGCAGCTCTTTCTGCCACTGTTGGGAACTGATGCTGATCACTGGTGGGCTCTAAGCACGCGCCGAGTTACTCAAACACAGAGGATATTTCTGCCACGCCAAAAGACCAGACCCTCTGCAGTAGCAGAATTTCACACTGTCTAGCTTTCAGAATTGGGCAACGTCGCTTCTATAACTCACTCAGCGAGTCCTGTTATGCAGATTCAGATTTGAATGACACGGTCAAACAGCAAAAAATATTCTCAAGACATTGAAGCAACAAGCCTGAGTTGAGTGCAGAAACCCAGCAGCTTGGAATAAGATGCACATTGAAAGGTGTTACGCTCGTACTGTCATAGTGTCTCTATTGCTTGGCTGGCAAAGTGCATATAGTGTAAAGGAAATATATATGTCCTAAATTGGTGTTAAATTATTAAAATGAGCACAGCACCATTCTTTTTATTGATTTGGAAGGAAAGGGTGAAAGGGAATAGTTAGAATAGAAGAAGGAGATCAGAAATCAGGGATTCATATTCAATTCTTTCTTTTTAGATCTTGACAACAGTGACAAAAATGAACAGATGAAGTTTAGCATCATGAAGCGACTTCCAGAGGTAAGTCAATGGTCTTTAACTCGAGACATAAAGGAATTGTCCCTTTATTAACTCAAATCTCTTAAATGGGCCACATTCTGAGAAGTTCAGTTATATTTTGCAAATGTCTAGTAATTTCTGTTTTACTTGAGTAGTGGAGAATGCGATAATGTCAGGCCCATGTATTCTTTGTTTTTCTTCTTCTTGGCTCCAGCGGCAGACTTAAATCTCATCTTCAGTCAAGCAAGGAAATCGAGTAGGTAGAATAAAGACACAATCACGGTTAATTCCCTCCAAATTTGCCTTTAGTCACATGCATGTAATTTAGCTTTTACAAAGTTCCCTCTTTGTTTTTTTTAAAAAATTTCCAGTTAAAAGTCCTTTGAACTTGTGCGTCAGAACTCAATTAGGACTGGTCACTGAATCAGGCAGAGGGATTTTTAATCAGTATAGAATGGAAACAAAGTCAGTTTTTGCATGAAATTCAACACTTTAAAACAACAGTACTAAACTCAGGCTTACTAACATACCACTGACGAAATGTTTAACAGTACTACTTTTATTTTGTTGTTCTTTCTCACAAGCATGGTAGATTTTATCATTAAAATACAAGCAAACAGCAAAAAATATATTCCCCTGGAGGCAAACAAACTATTCAGTGTTCATTAGTGTTTCTTAAAAACTTAAGATCAACCTTGTACACTATGTTTAAAGGCACAAAATGGCTTTCATGAAAAATTATGTGTTTCATATGAGCAAGCACCAATACTGATGTAGTGTGCAAAGAAGTGAATTAGCCTGAAGATTTGGGTCATGCTAATTGGTTTTTCCAATAAATGGAGGATTTCAAAGTACACTAAGGTAATGGCACAATCTTTTTACGTCACTCTTACACTAAGGATGCAATGTTTGTGAAAACAGTTTAGAAAACTCTGCTGTTCATGACTCAGCGTCCTTTGGGGTTGCTTGAATCCTGTAGGGATGTGCAACAGCTGACAAGACGTCCATGACGTAAACCCAGTAACTATGTGTTTAATTTATGGTTCCTTTCATCCCTTCAGTCTCTGGACCAGAAGATCTATCAGCTTTGGGATCATCCCATCAGCTCAGCCTGCATAGCCAGGAACTATGTCAGGAATCTATTTGAGAAACTTGGGAAGAAGCAGGTAACTGTTCTGTCTTGCAGAGCTGTGCAATTCTAAAGATTTTCTTTAATTACATGTTTGAAGTGTGTTGAAGTCTTTGTCTATGTCGGCATAGTCTACTGGAGTCCAGGGAGTCCCATTAATTTTAAAGCAATAATAGGCATAGGGGCTGACTCAATCACTGCAGACACTTGCCCTAGTGCAGGGTGAGCAGGGTGCACTGCTTCGAGCCTGGGTCATGCCATTGGCCCATTGTCACCAGGATGCCTGATGTGGCAGCATGCGATTGGCTGATCCCTGCAGAGGGAAGGCCACACTGCCACCCCGTGACCAGCAGGCTTGGGGTTCTGTCACCCAGGGACCCTCCTCTCCAGTCGCAACAGAAACCTCCTTGTAACAGAGCAGCAGGATCTGGAGTGTTAATACTGGGTTAGGCCCATGGAGGCAGTGTGGGGACACTCGAGACATCGAGAGAAATACATTCCAGAGCAATTGTCTCCAGCTGTAGGCAAGCCCATTTCTCACCATGAAAGAGAGCAAAGAATGACAGGTTGTCTAGTCCGTATCTACGCCAATAAAATCTCTTTACGAGACAACATAAGGGTTGTTATTATTTCTAGTCTATTCATTATACTTTTAGAAGCAAACATAATTAAGCATAAATAAGATGAATAATATATTAAAGAGGTCCAATTTACAGATGTTTATCCCTCAGCACTGTTATGTTGGCTTCAAAATACGAGAGCTTAGATTTTAATCATCTGCAAAATAAAGTATATACTGTACTTTCTAGACTTCCAGAATAATTTCCATTTTCCAAACCTTAAACCATGGATTTTCAAGTACAGTACGTGTCTAGGTAAAATTTAAATGTAAAACATAAGAGCAATGCCACTTTCAGTAGAACTTCGGGGTAACCAGGTTCTTCATAAGTACTGTATGAACAAACTCACCACATCTGCTCTCTGGACCCCTGGTTGAAAACCCCTTGCTAAACCATAGCCACATCATTCTTCAGCTCTTCCCTTGCACGTTTGTCTCATTATTCTGTCATTTTTCAGGGCTCTTCCCTAAGGCAGAGAGACCACACTTTTTTCCAGACAGAGTTCCTGCCCCTCAACTACTTAACCAAGACATTGTCAGACGTAGAGGACAAAGGTATGTATCCGGCTTCTTCTAAGTCTAACGTGTGCTATGAGGCCATTGCTGAAATTTCTGCATGTTTTCTAATTGAGTTGATGTTGTCGAAATGGTCACAGCTTTATAAATCTCTTGCATTAAGCTACTTGTAACCAAAGGAGCAGGACTGGCCTCATGTCCTGTTCCTCTCTTGTAATCCTTCTTGTGCTACAGTACAGAAGAAACAAAAGCAATTCCTATGATATGGCATAAAGCTTGTTTTAAACTTCCATTATCGTCTTCCCCTTTGAATCTTAAACCCTTTGCACATATGGTGCCTTTTCATTTCTTTCTTCCTCCTTAATTGTTTTGCAGCATTGAACCCTTTTGAAGAGCAAGAGAATGTGGATGCAAAGTTTGTTGAGGAAATAGCTCTGAAACAGACTTCAGTTCTGCTGGGGTTTGAGGAGACATAATTGAGGCAAAGGGCTCAGGAGGGTGGACGCAGATCAGGATGAAGACCGAAGGCAGGGAGTACACCAACCGATCGTCCATCCATGTAGGACACAGTTGTTGGTGCAGTAAGGAATGCGTCCTGCTAGAAAGTATCCCAATATTGCATTGTTATGGATTTTGAACAGGCTCCCAGTAGCAGAGCCAGCACAGGAGAGTAAATCCAGCAAAATCTTTTTATATATCATTATTCTTTATTATAACGAACCTGAAGGGTTCAGTAATATAGAATGTTTATTAATGTTGTGAGCCAAAATGAATAACAGATGCTTGGTTTTTTTAGCAATACTGACAATATATTAACTTCCTACTTATTGTAATAAGGTATTTTGTAACTGGATTTCTCTGAAAAAGGAAATAGTTCCAAAGTCACTTGACAAAAACTTTTTTGAGATGCTTTAAATTCGTGCCTGTATATTTAAATGTTGCGTGCTGCGAGATTTAAGGAAGTTAAAATTTGTACATTCTGTATAATAAAAAGTGCAAATCAGAGTAATCTTGTAACTAAAAGGATGTGTTAGAAAAGGGATATTTTTTCTCACTGGTAGCTAACAGACACAAAAAGGACACCATCCGTTTATAAAAATGTATTTGTCAATACAATAATAATTTTTTGGAAGAATTGTTTACAGTGCTGTTTTAAGGTGTAACAAAAATCATTGTTACGTGATGCCTGAAATTTATTCCACTACATTGCTTTATCACAATGAGCTTCTGAATGATATTTTTGATTCTTTGATTGAAGCCCTGTTCACATCAGAAACAAAAGAGCAACAGCATAATAAAAAAAATTAGGTGGGAAATAAAACAAATAATTGTCAATTCTAAGTGTGAAATCAAGAAATACAATTATTATTATTGGTACTATTGTATTGAAGTTAAGGTAATTTACTGGGATAGTTGATGTCAAACAAATTTGTTGAGCTCCACCATCTCCTTAAGCTTTTCCTGCTCAGCATCTACACTTTCTCAAGGATCTGGTATTTTTGTTGCATTGTCTGTGTTGACTGCTGTAAAAATAGTGTACTTTGCATTTGGGTCAAACATGCCTTTTCTATTTCTAGCTATTGATCAGGGCAATGGTTGTAGTAAACATTATTGCATTGTAATAGCTGATTGTTTAAAGTGGCTGATCTGTGAATTTCTTGAATTTCATGTGCAAATCTCTTCACATTCAAACCACTGAAGTGCTGCCCTTGGGACTCTTTCAGGAAACATCAGCGTGAGAAGTATCCGACTTAATAAGAATTTAGAGCAATCCCTGGCCACCCCAGAGGAAATTAAAAAAATATTTCAGGAACAATTTGGGTCAAGGCCAGTAAATAGTTTAAGGAGCCTTTCTGCCCTAATTTACATTAATGGCCATATGCCAGACTCATAAAGTAAATTGCTTATTGCTGTTGTAAATTGTAACCACACGCAAACTGTGAAATTTAGGTGTATAATCACACAAGTTTCTTCCTTTAAAAAGATCTCTATTTCATATTAAAGCACTTTCCAAGAGTTTCATAAAAAAAAAACAATGACAAAAAGTGGTATTTTACTCTTGCGCATATAACTGTTTTTAATAAACCCTTTTTTTTCTGTGAAACACGGTTCCAGATTCTGATTTAGTCCGCACTGCGTGTGAAGGAGTGGCCGTGCTCGCTGTGGTGCCCACTGGGTTATCGCTCCGGCGTGCTAGATTTCAATGGGCTTCGGCACCGGCTTGCGGATGTGTCTCATGTTGGTGCCGGGCTCGCTGGGCTTGAAGGGGGCCAGGGCTCCGTAGGGGCGGGGCAGGGGCAGGGCGTCCTCCTGGGGGATGTAGGCGTTGGGCCGGGCCTCAGCAGTGGTGTACACCCCACTGGGCAACTGGTGCCGATCCTCCTCTTCCACCGCCTGCAACACACACAGCCCAGAGGTCAGAGCGCAGGCTTGCCTGTCAGAGGGGCAAGGGAGGCATGTAGCTTGGGGAGAGGGCCTGTTCACTGGGTTACTGTCTTTATTTCACAAGAGTAGACCCTAAACCTCCTACTTCAGGTAGACAGGAGTTTTAACTAACAGTTTATCAATAATCTTAAGTAGATATTTGTTTTATACATTCTAACTTTAAATTAGAATCTTAAAGTGAACCATTTAATCTACCTAGTTATTATTTCCAGAGGAATCTGGAGGATCGTAGTTAAAACTCCATTTCTTACAATGTTTATTAAAAGTGATTGGAGATGGAGGGTCTTTCCTTTTGGATTCCATCGTTTCTCAGCTCTACCCTCTAATGTGTCTTAAGTGTGAGCGAAGCCCAGTTCTGAGAATGTGCTCAGAGCTCCTCACCTTGGCCCTGTTTTCAGCCTCGATCTTGTGCTGCTTTTCCTCCCTGAGCGTCTTGAGCCACTCCAGCTCCATGTCCTCGCTGGGCGGCAGGCCCTGCTCCAGCCTCCTGTGGCAAGACTCCAGGAAGTTTTCCTTCATCTTGATCTCCTCTTGCAGTGCCATGGCATTGGCCTGCTGCATGGAGAGCTCTGACACCACTGCCATCATCTTCCTGGTGGTCTCCTTGATCTTGCTCTGCAGCTGGTTGACCTTTCCATGTGCCACATTACAACACAGACAAGTTACAAGGCTACAAAATACCTGAAGGATCAGCATAAACGATCAAGTAAAGAATAGGAAAAGTTCTCCATGATAGAGGATTAAGCCCATAACTCAAAAAGGTACTTTTAAGTTTCATAAATGTTAGTTTTGGTGCTCCAGTATGGAAATATAGCTGATGCAAGATATTTAAAAATTTTAGTCATTCATCTTCTCTGTAACTTCCATTACTGAGCACTCTTGATGGCCAGGCAATAGCTCAAATCACAGACCCTGAAAGCTGCATTGCAGCAGGAGTGCTGCCACGCAGAAACCGACTAGCTTTCCATCCATCTACGTAGCAATCTCCCTAGCTCATGCTGGGGGCGTGTCCCTACCTTCTTAGCCAGCGCCAGCGTGTCGTGCTTGCCGTTGTCCGCCTTGGCCCTGATGCGCTGAGAGAGCCGGGTCACCTGCTCGTACACCAGCTCCTTCTCCAGCAGCTGCTCCTCGCGCTCTGCCAGGCGGATCTCCAGCTGCGGCGCCCGGCCGGGGAGAGGGTCACAGCAGAGGGTTACTCAGAGCGGGCCGTCGCTCAGTGCCCATCCATCCCCAGGACCCCGAGACCTTGGAAAAACCTCTCCTCCGCCTCCGCAGGCGCTGTCCGGCAGGCGGCACGGAACCTCTCTGTCAGCAACAGTATGCTAGCTAAAAGTGTTGCAGTTCCTAAATTTTGAAATCGATGTTCTGTAATGAAATAATATGGCTTGCAAAGTGCTCACTGAGTTCATTCTAGCCGAGAATAAGGTTTTGCTTTCAGTGACATCACTTTAAAACAACAAACCTTTCCCAATACTCCTAATGTCATCTGTGGACTTAGGTGTGGAACATTTTAAAGTCCATATTCTGTTACACTAATGATTGATGTCAAGGGCATGGGTGACCAATCCTTGTCCTGGAGGCAATGATTTAAAAGATTTTATGAATCCCCTTAAATCCTCAATTTCTAAAAACTTGGAACAATTTAGTTTTGACCACTGAATCAAATTATTTAAGCAATAATTTTGATCTACAATAGCAAAACCCTGTCAAGACTTAATAATTTACTAAAGACCTGCTCGATTGCAGTTCTCCAAGACCATGGTCACATTCATCCAAGGGATTCTTTAGAAACTTTTTTTAATCATAAGATATTAGGATTAATGGTCAAATAACCTTCCTGTAACGTAGCTTTCCAGTAGCCAAATTACATTTCTCTACACAGTTTACACCCTAACAAGTGTACATCTTACAAGTAATTTTATATTCTTCTGACTCCAGAGTACACACCCAACCGTGTTGTATTGGAGAATATTAAAGGGATAAGAGTTTATCCTTTCTCTGTCTATAATTTTGATTTGTTTCCATTATATTTTTCATTCTTTTGGAGTAGCGCTGTGCCATAAGTGTCTGACTGATATGTGATCAATTTTATCGTTTTGAAAATAGTCGGTCCAAGTGTAATGTACAAATATTGGCAATAATACGGGGTGGTTTTTGTGCTCACATATCACAAAGATCTAACGCAGCTCCTGGTGAAACCAGATCTGACTGTGTGGCACATGCGCACTGCGGTACCTGTTCAATCTTCTTGACGAGCTCAGGGGGTGTGGGGTCTTTTCCCTCCAGCACCCTGGTGCGGTTCTGTGTTTCAGGGTCCTCCAGGGTCTTCTCCAGCTCCAAAACTCTGTCCTGGCACTCTGAGAGCTACGACCAAGACACAACATCACACATAGCCCGTATGAAGTGCCAAAAAGCATGCAAGCTGTTGCTTCTTGTCTAATAGCATAGCTGTGCCCTGCAGGGTGGATCATGACAACGGTCCAAACAATGAGCCAGCACCTGTGCAACAGGTTCACTGAGCTCCCAGTGACAGGGCAGCATGTGGCTTCTGGGGTACCATACCCAAAGCATGCTAGCCACTCACACTGAAAACCACGACAGCATGAATCTGAATTTATACAGTGCTTTTTAACTTGAAAGCTTCCAAAGTACTTCACATATAGGAATATATTAATTGAATTAATTGGGAACATTGGATAGGACACACTATGCATACCTAGAGTGGAATATAGCCAGAAGATTCAGGTAACTGATACTCCTATAGCACAGAGTCCTTTGTCTGTTCAGTGGAAAAGTGCCACCTATTGGTCCGTGGTGTAGCGGTGAGGCTTAATAATAAGGCAGAATTAAGTGTTCTGAGCCTTCCCAAATGAGGCCCCATTTCTCTGCAGCCACAGAGAAACTATTCATGCAAGATGTTTTCTTTTGATAAGGACAGCTCCCAAAGGGGGATGCACTTAGCTAAGCCTGGCTATCATGATCAATGGTCATCCATTGGCGCCTATCTGTCTAGGGAGTGCCAGTTGGACATCTGGACTGCATTACTAAGTGTCAGGAGTAAGTGACTCATATCTCACCTTGATCAACCAATCAGGGACTGGTAGGGCTGAGTAACCCATGTGGGACTCTGATGCCCATGGAACTTTCAGCCAATCAATGAGCTGAAGTTCCTCCAGGTAAAAACAGGCAACACAGAGAGCCTGAGAGATTCAGATTCAGATTCAACAAGATTCAGTAAGATTCTAAAGGGAATTCAAAGGAGAATTCCAGGGCAGGACGGCCCAGGAGCAGAAGGCTCCCAAGGGCAGGACATTCTCGCAGCGCGCCTCCTGACCATCCTGAGACTCAGCCCGGACAACCACGGAACGGCCAGTGTGTCTGAGTGCCAGAACTTTCCTTTGTTCTAAGAGTCTAGAGTGGAGGTTGCCAGAGAGTAACCAGCAACAGGCCTCGTGAACAGGTCGGAACTGTGGACAGCTGAATCACTATTCAGAACTAGCTCTTCATCAGGGACGAACTGGTCCTCTTCCTGACTTGCTGGGACCCACAGTCATCTTTTCTCCTGTGCACAAACTTTGCTAGTTAAAGCCAACACTAACTAGCCGGTCAGTGAGCGTCTGCAGCGCACCGTCACAAGCTGCACAGCACAGCCTGGCACGGAGCCAGAGAGCGCGGATTGGACAGCAACAGCCTGCAACTGTTTCTTTGTGCCCGCAGGAGATCTGAATCCCCAAAAATTGGATGAGTATTCAACTTCAATGCATTACAGCTCGAGAATTCAATTGTTATCCCAACCAGTTGATATCAATTTAATTCCTAAGAGTTATGTACTTGTTTGAGTATCTAATGTAGAAGTTGTAACCAAGTTCACTTTACGAAACGGTCTTAATGAATGATATACTGAACGTATGTCCTCTTGATATGTGTAACACTTCGTAACTGACTGAATATATATCTTTTGTATTCTGATAACCCTCTCGATAAGATGTTAGGTTTACATGCATATTCTATGAATTAATAAATGTATCCTCGTGTATTAGTACCTGTGTGTGTGCGTTGTTTGAGTTATGTCGCATGGTTGGATTCTAAAGCCATCAAAAGAATCAACTTTGTGATTTACTGCTACAATCAATAATTGTCTCAGTAAATGCCCAAACCCTACAGAACTGGTGCCTTCAGAGAGCCACTATGATTACATATTTGGCATCCCTGAACCGGTTTTCCCTACAGTGGCTTTAACAGACAGGTGCTTTTCCTATCTCATTAGTAACCAGTCCCTGCCTTGCTTAGCTTCTCATATCTGACAAGATCACTAAGGAGGTACTGCCTGTGCTGAATGCTGGGATAACTGTAATGTTTAATTGTATCTTTTCTCACAGTGTTTATGTGCCATACATTCCTGTACTTTAAATACTTTTAAGGATCTAAGGAGGAAAAGATTTCAGTGAGCTTGAAAAGATGCAGATAAAAAAGTTTGCTAAATTCCCTTTTCTTTCACCTAACTACAGGAGATTGACCTGATATGGTCCAATAGTGTTGAATTATGCCAAAGAGATGTGTTGCCTAGACCATTCAGGGTTACTTATTCATTTCCTGTTACCACTGCCTACACTGTTACACTTGTGCTGGATTACTACAAAATAACACAGCAATTGATCCAAAAAATTCATGATTACATAATATAGGGTCACAATGTATTTGTATTAAGGGGACCAGGGAATTAAACAGGTTGTCCTCTGAAAACTGTACTGCGTCACATAATCCAGTGTGACTGACCAGACTGTTGGATGAATGCCAGGATTTCAGTCTAGGAAACACCATCCTCTTTTCTTGTGAAGTTTAATACACTTAAAGAAACAGTAATTTCCAATCTTTTCAGTCATGTACAGTGGGAAAGTACAAGTTGTTAAAATGTTAGGCCACTGAAATAATGGTGAAAAGAAAGCATAAAACTTTTGACTTTTCCAAAGCAACGATCTGTATATATTTTGCTTGTTGTGTCATCAAAGTTTGTAAATAGTGGTTTAACCACTAGGTGAAGTACAATGTACTGTAAATGTAAAAAGCTAAACTTTGAGATTTAACCGCTTTGTAGGGAAAATGGCTATATAATTTACTTAAAACATCTACCTGAGATTGCATTACATGACACTTGTTAAAAATGATAAACAACACTTTGCTTTGTTCCTGACATACTTAACAATGAATATGAATTATATTTTTGCAAACTGCATATATTTTTATAATTGCAAAAGAGCAATTCTATGCTGTTGCATGTCTACACATGAGCTTTTTGGTCTATTTAATAAGAGTTTATGAGGGCATCTAAAAGAAAGTGACTTTGTGGTCTTCGAAACACATGCATGCTCTGTTTCATGATTTATGATGAACAAGTTTACTGCACGTTGCAGGCACTTGCAATGAAATTAAAACTGTGGCCACAAGATCGGTGACTTTCCATCCCCCAGTGTGTTACTAACTAACATGGCACATTACCTACAGGTTGGAAACAGATGTGTGACTGTAAACATCCATTATGTATGCTATGTCCCAAAGTGTTTTGATCACTCTCCAATCTGTGGTTCAAGGAAATCATCCCTTCTATAAACACCAAACCCTTTGCTGAAAACAGCAAATTAAATTCTTAGTGTAGACAAAGTCGCATATGACACAGTCTTTTTTAAAACTTTCATTGAGGACACCAGTGAAAGCAAAGCTACTACATTTGTTTAGCATAACAATGTAATTGGAATCACTGCAAAGTGGCTAATAAGAGAATTTCGGTGAATACAATACAATACAGATGGATACACAGCTTTCTGAAGAGACAGGAAAGTTGAAAGAGTGGGAGGAGTAGCACTATACATCAACAAACCACATCAAAAGAGTATTGAGGCACAGGAAATTAATCTAGATTAAAATTTTTAAAAGCATTGTGTTAAGAATATGCCATAAAACACTTGATTCTATGGAGTAAAATAGTGCTAAAGAGAAGAAGAATGGAACAAGATAGTGTATATATGATTAAAATCATATTTTAGAACATCTGTAATCCACTCTCTGATGGTTATACATATAATCATATATAATACATATAATCAGCAGTGAATGGATGATAGATTTTCTACACAAGTAAATCAAAGTGGCCCAAATGGTTAAATAAATCAATTGTCAAGAATACAGGGAGAAAGAAAGCTCTTTAAAACATGAGAAAATAATGTGATCCAGTTGAAAAAAAGGAATATACTGAACTGCAAGCACAGGCAAGCAAATAACAGCAGAATTATGGAATTTTCCATAACATAGTTGCACTTACACCTCTGCAGCTGAAGACTAACTAGTAAAACTTTCAGTGATTGCAGAATTGTGTGATAGATCAGTACTACCGATAAACTAACTTCAGTTAATCTAATTCATTAACTGAAACTGAACTCTGTACAGTATAAGCACCTTCACAACAAAAATAAAATACAAATCTCTTTTCTATTTATGAAGTTGAATCAAAGTCAGTATTGTACCATATATGCTTACACAGGATTTCTGCTCTGTCTGACAGTCACAACGTCCCATATTGTTAATTTGTACACATCTCACTGGGCTTAGAAAGCTCTGTTCCCAGAACTACAAAGGCTTGTATGTTCCTTCCACAAATCTGCTCTACTTAATCAGTGGGGACTCTGACGACATTCTTGTTTCCAAACCTGTAGGTCAGCACCGAGGCAGTGTGGAAAACATGAGTTTGTGACAAAAAAAAACCAGCAAGCAAACGCCAAATTCCTGGAAATGTGAGGTTTACAATTCATTACAATGGGCATTAACATCCCAGATGTAAAATGCAAATGTGAATTTGAGCTTTATTTTACAAAGAAATTGACTCAGAAATTGGGAAAGTTATTGTTTTATCAGGAAATTTGGTTTTATTCTTTTTACACAAAGTAAATTTAAAGTTCAATGCACCTAATTTTTTTTGGCAATGTGTTTCTGTCCATTTAAAGCTGTTTTCTCTAGGCAAAAAGAAAAAGGGCAAAGAGATATCAGATTCCAGTTAAGTACAGCATAACATCTGGACAGAGTTACATTGCCACATTCCTTTCCTTGCAAGTATAATTGGTATGTTTTCTAACCAGAATATTCTGGATTATTTATCTTCAAAGTCTCATCTCGTGGATTGTTTGGAGTACATTTCCCATGCACCAAGTTGCACAGACAGCCTGTACTGTACGTGTTTTCAACACAATGGTTTTTCATGCATGAAAGCAATCTTATATCTGCAGTTTCACGAGGAATAAAAAACACCCAAGAATCGGAGATGTTTTGAGGGTGTTTACTGAATACTTCAATTAAATAGCATAGTAACTGAAATATTATTATTTTTAAGTTTAATATCAATTTGACTGGTGTTTTTACAGACACTCAAAATCCACTAATTCACAAAAAACAAAGCTTAACCAAACAGAATGGAGAAATTGCAATCAACTGCAATCAACTCAAGAAGGCACATTGTGGAAGACAGAAAACCTACACCTCTTGCATCCATTCATATAGATTTCCATCTTGTATAAAATAAAAATGACACTTACAACCTTTAGCTTTTAGAAATGTGTGTTTTTCTTCAGCCTTTAATATAATATTTATATAATTCATGATAAATTAGCTACTAAGTATTTTTTTAAACTTATTCCCCAAAATACATAAAGGATGAATAAAAAGTAAAGTCCAGGGATGGGCAATCCCATTCCTTAAATGCTGTTATCATTTAGGTTTTAGAGGCATCTTTCAATTATCGCTTGAACAAGACCGGAAGAAACAGCTAAAATTATTTCTTATCTTCCCAATTGGTTCAATTAAGTCATTAAGGTGTGAGATGGAATGAAATCCAGAAACCAACACAGCACTCAAGGGCTAGTGTTGCCTACGCCTGCTCTAGCATTAAGCATGAGTAAGGTTATAAACAAGGAGGCTATTTGGTTTATCCAGCATGTTTGGTAGTTGTTAGCTGATCCAAGGTTCTCATTCAACTGTTTCTTGAAGGAAGCCTGGATATTGGCTTCAACACTGAGAACATATAGAGCATACTATATGATAGTAAAGGAACAAGTAAAGGTTTATTCCATGCTGAAAAGAGAAGAAAGGAGACACAATATTTTGGCTGTGGAGCCTTCTTCGGGTGTGAGCTTCGTCACAGATTACAAAGTGCAACCCAGCAATACGACACAAACCGCCTTTCTCCCTGGTGAACTAAACTCATTCTATGCTCAGCTCGAAGTCCATAACTCCCGAAGAAGGCTCCACAGCCAAAATACTGTGTTTCCTTTCTTCTCTTTTCAGCAATAAACCTTTACATGTGTAGGCTGCAAAGGAACATGCTGACGCAGCTACCCACATGAACTACTATATGATAGTATACATATAATTAAAAAAAATATTTTTGGTACAGTATGTACCATACATGCAAATATTGCATGTAGGGCACCTCCTTTAAAGGAATCTTAACCTTCTAGTACGGTGTTGATGATTTTTCCTCACTTAAGTGCACCTGAAATATATCATCATTTCTCCTAGTGTTTTACTCTTAATCATTTTATAAGACACATAAAATGAGGAATTGTAACCTTGGGTTATTTTAGTACTTGGATCTTGTAAATCGAGAGTGAAAGCAATTTATGACTCAGAACAGGGCGTTTCTATAAATGGTCATCTTGTTCGGCTGTTCTTAGTTTGTGCTTACGGGCTGTCTAAAGTGTCTCCAAACAGAGGGAAGTTTATTTTACCACATAATTCTACAGAGGTGTTAAATAGATACAGATTGTATTATTAGAAAGTCTGAATAAGACTACTTTATACAAGATCCACAGAATTTGTACTTTGACGTACAATGGTCTTTAGGGTCCCAGTTTATGAAGGATATTTTCAAACTTTATTTACAGTAGCTGCCCCTGTTGTCAACTCTAATCTTTGTGCAAAGAAACCATGATTGGGGGCCATGTGTACAGTTTATCAGACCAAAGAATCACCATGTTTGTGGTTCTTTATCTGTCAACAATTAGACATGAAGAACAAAACATATTCCCCCTACTGACTGAGAGGATCCTGCTGACCTGTATCTGCAGCGTCACCACTTCTCTCTCCAAGGCTCTTTTACTTGGCAGATTCTTGCGAAGGAGCTCTAACTGCCTGGCCTCTTCAGAGATCAGCATCTTCAGGAAGCAGATCTCCTCTTCCATGGCTTGTATTTCCATGTTGCCATTTCTGATCAGGCTTTCCTGGATATTCACCTTCTCATAGAAAATGCACACCTCCTCCTCTCTTTCAATCAGCTGCACTCCCCTGTCAAAAACCAGAAACATACATGCAGACATGTTGAAGGAGCCATATGATTAAAGAACCATGTTCTGTAGTAACCATGGGTTATTACACAAGAGTTGTGATGTGATGTGATGGAGTAACCATTGGATATAAGAGTGTTGTGATTAAAAGATTCATGTGCTGAAAGAACCATGTGCAGAAAGAGCCAGCCATAAAGCCCAGAGTGATGAAAGGTAAAAGAAAAAATGAACACCCAAATAAATGTTTTTTTTTTAATTCTAGTTCAATTGTAAAATAATGTACTTCGCCGGGGCTGTTTCGCTGAGATAGACATGGTGCTTCCCTGCTGAAAGGAAGGGTCTGCTGCCAGGTGAGGCAGGGAGTGCACGGACTCACCGGTCATTGCGGTTCTGCACTGCACTTTCATACTTCTTGCGCAGCTGCACCAGAGCCTCCTCGGCGTGGTTAATCATGTGGGTCAGCTTGCCGATGTTCAGCTTCTGCTCCTCCCTTTTGTCCTTCATCTCGAACTGGACCCAGTTCACCTTGGAGATGTCGTTCCTCAGGCTGTCGCGGAGGGTGTGGCTGTGGAGGTGCTTCAGCTTGGACTTCTGCAGCAGCCTGCAAAGTCACCAGGAGGGAAAGGGTGATGCCCTTTCCTATTACAAAGTAATAGGCAATGTTGTGAGCTATAAAAATCACCAAAAATCTTTTGATGAAAAAAGCAGCTGAAAGAGTTCGAGGTGTTATCATAGTGTATGTGACATGTGACAATCCATGTGTGTAACAGGGCTGTGTGGCTTTTATACTGTACATTCATACTTACTATCAATTTTTATTATGGTACTATAATAATACACTATTAAAGTATCATGAACATTTGCTTTAATAATAAAAGAACTTGTAGAGTAATTGTACAGCTGTTTTTCGCAATACTCGCTCTTTTTACATCACTAGAACACTTTTCACTCATGACTAAAAACACAACACCCCAAATGCACAGCAAGGAATGATTCCACACAACACACACGCAATAGGAGATAGACACGTAATACGGAACAAGACTGAGGCTGCACTCAACTTTTTACGTGAAGTCAGATTACACAAGATTCATTTTACACAAGTAAGGCAGTAATGGTAAATTAAGAATAGCCTGTTAATCCATGTAAAAATAGTTCTTCCATAACCCTCTCTCCCAAAAAACCTCTTCAAAGATTTTTATAAAAAGAAACCTCACAATTTCTGCATATACAGTAAGACTGCAGAAAACTTTTTTTGTGCTCTACAAAATGACTTACAGTATTCAGCCACAAGTCCTTGTGCTTGCACACTTTGAAGGGAAAATAGCCTGATACCTTTCTTTATTAACAGCATTTGTCCGCAAAATTTCAACTTCATTCTCCAGAATTTTTAATTTCTCCCTCATTTCTGCTGCCCTCTGGGAAGCAGTCTGGATGAGGAAGACACATTTGTTCCTCTCATTCTTTATGAAGTCATACATCTTTGCAAATATATTCAACCTGAAAAAGAACAGGTAGACCACAATTATCCTTCCTTCTACTCAAAGAGCATTTACTATGTCATGATGGTAAAACTGAAATCATTTTGGAAATTATTTCTGTGTCAAATATTGAAAATGCTTTATTTTTCTGCATTGAGAAAATGTATATTAAAATATGAGTCCATTTAAGTTCCATCTCAAAGGAGTTAATAAAGATTAACTGACAAATATGTACAGGAAATAGTCTTGAAATGAGACGGCTCTTCCTGAATAAACACAAAAGTGACTCATTTGTTTCTCAATTTTTTCAGGAAGAAGAATGTACCTGGTTTGAACTTCCTGATTTTGTTTCTTGTGTTCCTGTATCACCAGGCTTTTGCCTCTCAGTTCTTGTTTGATGCGATTATATCTTTGCTGTTTAAAAAAATAAAATTAATACTGCATATGACACTGGAGAGGTTGTCATTGATTTGTAATTTTCTTGATTGTAATGGCAAGTTATCAGACCAAAGCTACAAATTAAGGTTTGTATTTCAATTCAAACAAGGCTTGAGGTTCTAGAGCAGGTTTGTAGCTAAAGTAAGAGCTACAGAAGCAATAAGTAAGTGGTATAAACTACAACATATTTCTCTGATACGAAAGGCAGATAAATGGTACACTCTGGCAGAATACATATCCTTCTGGGTTTATAAAAATCTCCCTGTAATATCAGGATATCAGGAAACCACATGTTTCTGGTAAGTGTCATGGCAACATAGTGTCTATCCCAGCAGCATAAGGAGTGCAACCTGGATAGGTGCCTGTCCACTGCAAGATAAACTCACACATATGGACAATTTAGAGGTACAAATGACCCAATGACTCTATATGAGAGTAAATGCCCAGAGTAAATGCTATAAAAATGGGGAGAACATGCACATTTCACAATTAAAGGTGCTCCAGTTCAAAATTGTACCCAGGTGGCAAGATATGTGAGGCAGCAGCGCTAAGCACCAGGCCACCCTGTTGCTCTATACAGGAATGTTATCTTTTAGTAATAAAGATATTACTAAATACTGTGACGATTTGGACTGACTTAACTGAAATCACCAGCACACCAAAGAGAGGGAAAATTCCACCTTTTGTAAACCTTGAACACGCTTTGATTACCTCAGCTTTGACGAAGTCCCTTGACTTCTGTTCTCTCTCATCAGCTTTAATTTGGGCGAGGCAGATGAGATGCGTCAGCTCCTCCCTATACCGGTGCGTATCTTTAATAAGCTCCTGCTCTTCAGCTAAGCACTGCTCCACCTTGTGTGCCTCTGCCATTGTAAAAGTTTGCTGCACACAAATATTCAGAAAGGTTAAATAATAACCTGACTTGCATACAAAAACCACAAAAGCTATTAAAAAGCTGTCCTCATATACCACATAAGGCACTCAGAATTACCTGCTCATATTAGTATGCTTTACGTATTAAGTGTACTAAGTGTATTAATTATATTTTCAATTAATTAACTTACTGTGCCATTGTGTCTCTTCCAAAAGAGTGCCAAGAAATATTGAGGTACCTGGTATTTTTCAAATTTTTGTTAGTCTTTTTTGTCCATGTTAAATTTTGCTTGACATTGAAGAGAGCAGGCATATTTCAGGATGCATTCTCAGATTGTTTGTTTCTGACGTTGACCTTGTCCTGCAACGTGGTTGCAATCCTGAAAGCTTCCCTCTTTAAATTGCTTCACAAAAAGCCAAGGAGATGTCAGCTGTGGTAAGCAATTTTGACCACTCATTTTCAGTTGCATTCAATGTTATGTGAACAATGCAAATCTAAGTCGACCACAGTGTTGGGTTTGCAATTTGTAAATTGTGCAAACATATTTACCTGCTGTAGTAAGTTCCGTTTCAGCATCTCAACCTCTTTTTGTAATTCCTTTCTCCTTTCTAAAGCCGACCCATCATCCTTGGGCAAAGCGTCCATCTAAGACCAAGAGCAAACACCTGAGAAATATTTTCATTCATTGTAATGATAACTAAATTCTATCTGCACTCAGATAAAACATATTGATTTCAACACAAAGACATTTGCTAAGATTTAAAAAAATATATTAAAATTTGAGACTTTTGTTTATGCTAAGATTCTACATTACATTCTTACATTAAAAAATCCTGTACATTGATCTGATCTAATATAACAAGTAAAATGAAATGTACTTTAGTCACCTAGAAAATAGTGACTATTAAATGTGAAGTTGAATAACCATCACTTTGTTATTTTTTTGTTTAACTATTTAAATCTGGCCAGGAAACACACTTTGAAATGACTTTGCACTCTGTTTTAGAAACTGAGTTTTTAGAAAATGTGAAGATAAAAGGTATCGGTTTCGTATCTGCTCTGCGTTCTTGCTTCACTTACAAATCTACAGTAAATGAATTCTAATTCATTTGCTTCCATTTTCTGTTTTGGCTTGGTAGTCATGGAAGCCTTAATGAACCAATAATAATCAGATTTTGGAAAGAGTGCATAATGGTTTCCTGCTTTTGATAACAGATGGGACCATAGATGAAAGCAAACTGTTTTGTTAATGCGACTTTATAAAGTCTTATAAATACTTTATATCTGTTTTCATGCTTCATTTGCAGCATTGTTTAGAAAATGTGTGGTTTCTTTCCCATGATGTTGATGACAATGAACTTTAATCTCTAACAATAGGCACAAGGTTTTGGATGAAGTTGAAAACTAAATGTGGAAGCAACATTATACATCGATGTTAATATGCATTGCTTGGTTTTGATAAAGTTCTAAGAAACCTTGTCTATTCTTTTCTAAGAGACACCTGTTCAACGGGGGAAGTGGTTTTGGTATACACTTGTAGATGTTGTGACAGGGGATGTCCGGAAACTGTTTCTACAATGTGCTGTTTTTTTCCATTATAGCAGAGTAGAAGTTCTCTGTTATTTTTAGAGACTACAATCTTGACTTGTACTGCTCTGCAGTTTTTTTTTTAATCTGTCGCTGCCATGCACTCTTTCAGAATGTGACAATGTCTCTTAAACGTGAAAATTAAACTTGACAGCTGATAGCAGTTTTGTTTCAGAAAAAGTCTAACAAGATACTAATTAATTAATTCTCGTATGACTGTGCAAATATAGCCCCTTTTAACCCTTTTTACAAGAGTGGTTTAAAAGGTTTGGAGACTTAGAGGCTGAAATACAACAGATCATTGCTGTAGCTGAATGCACTCATGCAGCTAATATACAATACCTGACATTTCATGTTTTTCTTCTGTGTGGTTTAGCATCATGGAGCTTTCCTAATCACTGTTGTATTTCTGTAACATTTTCAGTTTCAGTAAAAGCAACACAAACCTCTGATTTCACTTTCTCGTGTAAGAACTGTGTGTGCACTAAAGTATCGTTTGCCAGTTTCAGCTGTAGCTCCATCTTCTTCAGGCTGCGCAGCTGTCTCTCTTTCTCCCTCAGCTTCCGGGACAGAGTGTCGTGCTGGGTTTTCTTCTCCAGGCTTGCGTGTCGTAGGTTAAGGTCCAAAACAGCTCTAAAAGGGTAAAAATGCTGCACCTGAACACCATTAAACAGAATTTTGTTTAATGAACTAGAACTGGCACTGAAGAATCCTCAGTGCATTTGTACCATTCGCCTTGTGGCCACTTCATTATTATAACATGGACAACGTTAACACTGATATTTTATGAAAGTCTGATGCCAATCATGGAACATACCGATTGCAGAGTCACTTTATTTGGATCTGTAATGTATTAAAATTATTTCAAATCCCTACACATAATTAGTAGTGGAGAACAGTAGTTCACCTGCTGATTTATTTGTCAGGAGACACCTCTGGAATCCAGACTGTCCTATCAGCGTCAACCTTGGGCATATTATCTTAATCCTAACAGAATCTGGCGATAGCTGACCCAGTACTACAGATATTTGCTTCTTTGCTTTGTCTTCATGCCAAAAGCATATTTTTATTAATCTCAAGCATGTTGCTTCATACAAAACCTAAAAAAGCTTACTGTGCACATACAAATGGCTTTCACAATAGTCTGTTTATGGAAAGTAATGGCATGTTTGACTATCACAGCTGTTGCTCTTGAAACAGTCAAAATCGTTGATATATGAAGGGCTGGATTTTAAATAAAGTCCAATAAGGGAACTGACATTTATAGGAATCCTCTCTTAGCGCCTCAGATAAAGAAGAGCCTGACCTTTCCCCCATCAGAGTGGCCTCCTTCTCTTTGGTCATGTCCTGTTCCTTGAGCAGCTGGCTGAGTTCCTGCTCGGTGTTGCCCAGCTGCTCCCTCTTCCCCTCCAGCTCCTTCATCACCTCCTTCTTCTCCTCTTCCACCTTCCTGCACTGGGCCTCCGTCTGCTTCTTCCCCGCCAACAGCTCCGACACCTGCGCCTCCATCTCGTCCTTCTTCTTCTCCAGATCCCTGTGAAGCATCACGCACCAGCGTGCCATTACAATTGTGGCACCCCCCCCCTCCTTTCTTTCGCTGAAGGTACTTGGCATTTTCTGCTCTTTTGCTTCCAGCAACAGATTACAAAAGGAAGGTAATTTGAATTCAAGAGGCCAAGATAAAATGTCTATCTCGCATTGCAACAACAAATTTGTGGTGTTTGTATACGGATGATATGAAAATATTTACAGTATCTGATTGTGAGCAGCTGAGGGGTACAAACAGAGCAAAGCCACCCCTTGCATCACAAAAGAAATGCTTTATAACTACTTGAAAAATCAAAAACTGTAAACAATACGTAAAGAATTTGGTTTCTCTGCCCTCCAAAATGAACCAACCCATTATTTATGCTGAGATTGGACTCTCAGATTTATTTCAAACAAAATGTTACATCTTTATTAATACAGGTACTGTAAGATATTATCAGAAATGTTATAATGCATTTAAGAAAAATTACAATCTTTCAAAAAATAATACAGTAGTATCAGCCAGTAGTGCAGATGGAGAAATTAAATTAATAGATTTTTTTTTTAAATTGAAGTGCACGAAAATCAAGGCAAAGGCGGAAACTTTGTGAGCATTAAACCTCCAGAATCACAGAGAACATTTTTTAATTACCTGCTCAGTCCCATTTATAATTTTTTAGATTTTCTTGACTTACATCTTTTTATGGTTTATTCTCTCAATCTCTTTCCCCAGCTGACCAGGGATGGAATGCAGCTGCACCAGCTCATTCTGGTGATAAAGAAAAATCAAAATATTAGTCTTTTTGTTCACTGTCCTTTCACTGAACTCTTTTAAAAATCAGTAGTAAAGGACTGTTATTACAAATGACAATGTTAAAATAAAACATCACATTTTAAAAAACTAAATAAGAATAAGAAGAAATGAGCCATGAAAAACATTTGGACAAAATCAAAAGCAAAGGAATCAGTAATCAGTGGAAACAATAAGTCTCTTGTGAAGGTCATTAATTATAGCATGTCTCAGTCACAGATATCCAAGAGCTCATATCCTGATCTTCTTGAATAACAACTTTTTCCATAATTAGAGCACTTTTTTTCTAATGCTTTTTGACATGTAGCAGACAGAGTAAAATATAGTAAAAAATCGTTTTTTCTTGTCTAAGAAAGCTCATGTAGCTCATGTAGTATGAGCTACATCTATATTATTATTATTATTTTTATTTTCACTTTTATCCTTATTCAATTTGACCGAGTTATACTGTCTAACAGATGTATATTTTTATGTAGTGCACATGATAATGTTAGTATTTTTTTCTCCTTAACAGCACAGTTCCCATATTCCGAACTACCACACATCTGTGTCTTCACAATTAAAGTTCAAGGCATTTAGGCAGCCTGGTGTTTGTAGACGTTTGTCGGCCACAACAGTTCATTTTAATTGAATTATATAACTATAATGAAGCAGTAGTAATACTAATCCTTGCTTTTATATGGCAGTTTTTCATTGCAAAGGATTGCAAAGCACTGTACATATAGGAGGAGACATTTTTCACCCACCACCAACCTGGGTGACACGGTCACTGTGGTCAGAAAAATAGGCAGGACACAGAAATAAAGTGCAAAAAACAGTGACTTTTTACTGGCACACTCTTGTTCAAGGAGAAATATTTACAAAAGAAGGAGACAAAATAAAAAGTCATAAACTAGTTTTTCAGACAATTCCCCACTAATGGTTTTAAGAGGCGCAGATTTAATTCAAACTCATCAAGGATACAGCACATGAACCCGGTTTCACTAATCAAAGACACAGACTGACTGCTACACCATGAGACCCAGGTTAAACACCCTGAGCTCCACCCCTGGAGTCTCTTGAAGGACGAGAGAGACTGCATTTAAACCAGAAGGGAGTCAGTGTCTGTATCCTGGCACAAACACGTGGAACAATCAGGAGACAAGGACAGCAATGTGGATTCAGAACAGCTCATACACAAATACAGTAACAAAAAATAACTTTTACCATACCACAGAAATTAACACTACTTGTCATTAACAATAATGAAGGTGGATATACAAAATAAACTGTCCTTTCTTTTCCAGAGAACATACGACAAAAGCATTCCAATTCACAAGCCCCACTACAAAGCAGATCAGGTGGAAAACAAGTTGCTTCACATAATGATTTAAAGTGGACATTTATTTAGGTAAGCTTTAACAAACCCAGAGTGAAACTTAGCCCAGACACCAGGACGTACACTCTTGGCCTTGCAAAAAGTGCTACTGGGTTTTAAATGACCGTGTACTGTAGCTAGGATGTGGATTTAACATCTTACTGTATCTGAAAGATGGGAACTCCTACAACACAATATCCTTAAATACTGTACTGGGACATTAGTTTGGAAATGTTATTCATCTGACAACACAACTTACAGAAGCAATCTGGTTTTATTTGGAGGTCTCTCATCCCAGTACTGGCCAGGACCAGCCTCGTTTCAACGCTGAGATCTGATACAATGAGGCTACAAGGTGGTAGTTTTGTTGCCTATGTCTGAACACAGAATTGATGTCATCACTGTCCAACATCGCTTACCAGGGAGACTTCAACTGAAGTGTGCTCTGAGAGAGAGGTCTGTGCTAAAATGTGAAAATCATCTGCTACCAACATAAAAGACTACTGGGAATGAAGATTCCTTTATCCAAAGAAATGTGGAAAACCTTCACTCCACAAAAACACAACTCCCTTTTGTGATGCCCTGACGAGCTCCAGTGCACCTGCTCCACATTCCTACACGTGGAAGGAGCTCGTCAGGACCATCTCAAACGAGAACAGGTCAGGCCTGTCAATCTTGTAAAGAGACATCACAGACTAAGCCCTGAGGGATCACTCCTCGGGGCTCAGACATTGAGTCACACTAGTGAGTGTATTTGCTGGTTTTAACTAGTCTTTTCAAGGTTTATTTCACGTTTTTCCCACAGGTTTTCCTCAGGATTTCCCCCCCAGAATTCTCTAGGACTTCTGCAGGATTTCTTCAGGACACTCCCAGATCTCCTGCCATTCCCATTCTAATTCTCCCCATTACTTTATTAATTATTCAATAAACCATCAAACCTCCACCGCTGAACCCACTCCAGCAATTATTAATTTGCCGTAACCTAATTTCCATCTACAGGCACGGCGTAACACCTTTTTAGATGGATGCATTTCCCTGTTACTTCTACTTCTCAGATGAATTGACAAGTTTAGCTGGTAAAATGCAACTGAGGTACCACGTAAAACATCACCTCACAGTCTGCGACGGTCTCTTTCTTCTCATCCAGCTCATGCTGCTCACGTTGGATTTGCTTCTGCTTGGTTTCCATGTCTTCTTTCAGCGCCTTGATCTCCAGTCGTCTCTGAGCAATTTCTCTTCGTAGCTCCTCACAGCTGTCCTTCAGTGCTTTGGTCTTCTTCTCCAGTTCCTGGATGTGTAAAATCTCAGTTAGACCTAAGAACCTGATTCATAGAATAAGACTCAAAGTCTCCAAAAGGCGGAAATATGAATGGAAATGTACCTACCGTATGTATGAGATGTAATAATGAGACTGCTGTGCACGAATGCCAAACTACACCTGCATTTCAGATCTTCTAAAGGCTGCCTGTTAATCTTATTCAACATTTGAGCAAGATAATACATTTTGATTGATCAAAATAATATAAATACTTGCTCTGAAATAGCATTCCCCATCCTACCAATTTCCATTAATGATAAATATCAAGAATTACATAATAATTACAATTCAAAATATCAATATAAATTGAAAAACGTTCTTATTTTCTCCAGACATTTGTTTTACCCTCAAATAAATGACTTGTTCCAGAAAAACGTGATTTGAGACAGGTGAAAGACATATCGGGTGTAGAAATGATTAGAGACTGCTATTATGTTTGAGAACTATCACAATCAGGTTAACAAATATTTACAATATACAAGTATACAAAAGTCCTGATTTCTCTTTGTTATGAAGATGGTGGTAGTTTATATATTTGGAACTTTAAATATAGTACTTACGCCTGGCTTGGGTAGAGTCTCATACTCTTTTTCTAGAATGGCCCTTTCTTCACGTAAGCTGACAATGAAAAAAAGTATCTTTTCATGATGTACAATTTACAAATCTGACCATTAGAGTGTACCACTTCAGTGTCCTCAGATGGGTAAATTGTGCAAGAACAGTATGACAGCAGTACATAAACTCTTAAGTTTTACATTGGAATTTTAAAAAAGACATGCCATACAAAAAGCTACTGGCATTCCCACACAGGAAGTACTCAGCCATTTGCACATATAAACATGAGGCACTCATGCAGAGAGTAGATTGACCCCTATAGTCCTGGCATCCCCAGATTGAGAACGGCCTACTGTATGTCTTTAACCACCTGGGACCAGGGACCGGGTATCCCCGGTGCTCAGATAGTGCACATTTTGGAGGAAAGCAGGCAGGCTTCTGTATGGGGATCAAATTAGTTTATTTTTTAAAATAAAAGGGCAACTAAGCAAAATCCCTGTTGGATAAATTAAAAATAATTTTGCCACCAAATAGGTGGCCACTTTGTTCACTCTATCACAAGGGCCATTATAACAAGACTCTGAGTAAAAGCCCAGGTTGCATTTTGACACCTGTTTCCAAATTGATTTTGAGGATTAAAAAAAAATATCCCATTTGACACCCTTGAAGGAGGATATACTGACTACCCCATTGCTTTTTCTTCATGATTCGGTTTGGGTTACAAGTGGTAGCATTTTCCGTTTACTGCCTGGTAAAATTCCTGTTTCATTTCTCATTGTACTGTATATTAGTATTTATATTACTTTAGTTATTTAAAGAACGTGCATGTTCACACAGGTTTCCTCTGGGTTCTCTGGTTTCCTCCCACATACTGGTTAATTGGCTTTTGTGAAACTGGCTCTGGTGTGACTGTGTCCCTGTCTGTGTATGTGTGTGCCCTGCGGTGGACAGCCATCTTGCTCAGGGTCTAGCCTGCCTTGTGCCCATTGCTTGCCAGGATAGACTCCGGCTCACCTGTGACCCTGAACTGCATGAAGTGGTTAGAAATGGAGGGATTTTTTAAGTCTTTCTTTTTTAAATAAAAAACAAAGACTCTATACAGTCCATTTCTAACTGTATTTAGGAATTATTCATGTAACCTGCAAAGGTTAATGACACATAACGAGATAACGATTTGAACGTAATGACTACCAGAAGCTTCCTGCTTCCAGAAAGCTAAATGTTATGGCAGTTTCAGTTTTATATAGATTTGAAATCATTACTGCACAAAGATTAATGAAGCATTTCTTTATTTACATTTAAATGTGAATATGGTGCATACTGGTACCAGTTTTTACAGTCCTTCTGCCCTGTTTATTGTGCTTTGGAGATCTTGATCATTACAGACAATTACTGTATAGTACCAGAATCCCATATCCCTTCCATACCCATATTTTCTTGATTTTGATGTATTTTTGCCTATTCAGTTTAAAAAAAACTTGGTGGTTCCGGCCAACAATAAGTCTCCCAGCGGTGTAACAGCCTTGTCAGCCTTAAATGACTGTCTCCAAAATTATGTCATTTCAGCCTTGTAGCAGCCTCCATCGATTTTTGGCTGTTCTTCCCTACTGTGCTGAACATGGATGTTTGCAGTTGAACATTTGGGTGTATAATATGTAAGATGATTTGGTAATATCCAAAAATGAATTTAAAACATAAAACAACTTTTGTACTGCTCAAGTGTGCTGTAAATTGTAATGCTGAACTCTCACAGTTTCTTCAGGTTTAAATATGGCAATGGCATTCTCTGTATCAAACTCACGCCCAAATTCTTTTCCTGGATTTCCTGTGCTCAGCTTTCTTTTGTAATCAATAATTCAGACATTGTCTTGTATTTAAACTGAGACATCTGCCAAACACATGGAAGTACTGTGAGAACAAAGGGAAAAAAAAGAATCACTTTTCAAGATGTCTACTATAATATAATATAATATAATTTCAAAGAAAGATCGCTAAATTACTTTCACTTTAACTTTTACTTTAACTACAAAAACAGTCAACAGGACACCAGCAACAGTCACTTCTGTTGTGAAAGATGAAAAACATTTTAGAGTAGGTATAAACCTCTTTCTCCCACATTTTGAATGTAATATTGTTAGGGAAGTTACAATGGTTATAAAAGTATTTGTACTTGTCTGATTTCAAAGCAACCAGTAGGAACAATGGATAGAAGACAAGATGGTTATTAAGCTTTAGGTGGTCTGAGAGGTAAAGCTTATAGAGGACCTTCTGGGGAATAACTCTAGTAAATCATTAAGAGTCATCAATAGCCCAGAAACTGCAAATTAAAAGGCAGGCTGACAGAAACAGAGATGGAGAGAAGAGGAGGAAACAGACAGAGAAGGAAGAGACAAAAGAGAGAAAGGAAGAATTGTGTCAGGCAAGAGAACATTGTTTGAAACAACCTTAAAGGCCAGATTCTTGCTAAATAGTGGAACCCTGTTTAAAAGAGAATGACATTCTATTATTTTAGGAAACAATGATTTCCGTTATGAGGAATCCCCAGGCTAAAGATGTTGTTTTTTGGATAGAGACGCATTTTTAGAAAAGGGGGGTACTGTATATTCCCCTTCATTTTGGAGCACCTGGATTTATAGGAAGAGAGGTTTAGCTATGGGCAGTATTCTGTTATTTTGGACGCAGGTTTATCTCTCCTGTTGGCCTGCTAGGCATTATACAGTACAGGATTTCTGAGTATTGGGTTAGCAGTCTGGGTTTTTCTGGTTGGTTAGGATGTAGGCCTCTGAGACTCTTTGTAATTAGTGTAACTTGTATTTCGTGTTGTGTGTTGTCTAGTTTGTATTATTGTTATTGTTAATTATAATTTGCTTAGCCCAGTTTGTCGGATCAATCACTTTTTCACCATAGCTGCCAGTGTGGTTGGTATAGTTAGGCGCCTCTAACCATACCAACTGCAATGGTACGTTCTTGGCATCTCTGACTATTAGGTAGTTATAGTTAGGTATTTTAATTATTGATTATCCCACTCCATTTCTATATTTTTTAACCCCAATATTTGTATAAATATTAATAACATAACTGAATACAGTATTTCTTATACTACAATTAAAATGTTTATTGAATTGTTAAATTTAACAATACGACTTTAAAAAGCTCAGAATGTCATTACAAGAAATACATTTGGAGGACTCACACTTTGTTTGTAAGGGCAATATTTTAGTTTACACTAGAAATTCCAGTAAAAGCACCGTATGAATGTGTACAGGAAAAGCTATTTTATCATGGTTATTCCATAGCAACTACATTTAAAATACTGCTTTTCTTGTCGAAGTTATGTTGTTGATGTGCTTGCATGCTATTTTCTTTTTCAGTATTGCAAGTTAATTTTGATGTAACTCAAGTCCTTATCAAAAACATAAACCTTTAGTAGAGCTGCTATACAGGTTTCTAGCAAAAAGCTTTTTAGTCTTGTGTATCAGTATAGACTATAAAATGGTTTATTTTCTGTGAAGAGCATGTAATGATTTTTACATGTAGTATACTGTAAAATCTCTTAACAAATTAAACAACTGCAGTTGCATCAAGAAACATTTAAAACACGGCAAGAAAAGTATGTGGTGATTCTGTTAACAAATAGTTAGTATTCTGCATTAAGGGGATGAATTGGATTGATTTATTAAACTTACTTATTGAAAAAGTACATATGCAGATTAGCCAATAATATAACTTCATCTTCCTGGCAACATGTGCCTCCCTGATGTTCCCACTGAAAGAGGAGACACTGTGAGCGTGTTGGGGTGGGGGATGTCTAAATGATCTCAAATGCAATTCTTAGAGTGTCTCACAGTATTTATTCAGTCCAAGCTCTGTTACATATTTCCCCTGAATATTACTGCAAAACGGTGTCACCTTCAATGAAGCAAGCATTTTAATCATAAGTAAAAGACCTTAAGAAAATTCTGTATATAATATAATAAAAAAAATATTAAGTTAATTGAGTACTCAGGCTGGAACTAAAACCTAAAGACACTAGGCTCTTCAGGACCTGAATTTGTGACTCCTGTTCTGAGGCTTATACCAAAATGGAATAGAGAAGTCTAAGATCTTCAGTTTTGTCACTGCCTTTTAAAGATTAAATTTAAACTTGTATAAACAATTTAAACTATAGTTCATTAGGCCAGAAATACATTTCACAAGAATAACAACATCCAACCAGACTCAATAATACATAGTTTTCAGGACAGATGAAATATCAGGAATACTGGCATGGGAAAACTGTGATTTTCTCCCACATATTGGAATTCGGTTCATAATAGTATTATTTTTTTAATGGGCTCATTCTGATTATACTGGCTGTGTGTAATGTTGAATATATTGAAACATATACCTACACTATTTCTTGGTAACAACTGCGAATTGGGTCACTATTCATTGCAAGTGCTTCAGTAGTGGTAAGTGAAGCTATGCCTCCTCACCTTCCTCTTTCCTAGATTCCCCCTTCGTTATATAGCAGTTGTCAGTGTATAAGGAATATGTTTGTATAATATTGTTTAAACAATAATATACTTTTATAATAAAGAAGCCAATATCACGTGCTGATCTGTTAACACAGTTTAGATATTTGGCTTGAGAAACAGCTGGAAAGATGTGTGTTTACAACAGCAGGGCCCTGGGATCCAGGGATACAGCTGTTGAAAATGTTGCTTAAGAGAAATGCCTCTATTACCTCTAGATGCTGGCCGTGGAACTATAGTAAACAACTGTAACTTCAGTCTAACACACAACTCTGCACTGCTTACTTGCAAATAAGTAATTATTCATAGAGCATGAATGGAATTCCTGGAGATACATATTTTCTTATTTTACTGAATTGAAAGCTCTTCAGAACGTGGTTGTAACGTGGCAATTGGAAGTAACTATAAACTAGGTCTTTTTCCTAAACAGTTTCAAATGAGGAATTTTCAAGTATATCAGTCGGGTCACAGCTGTCATGAAATACATTTAGTACTAAGATAATTATATTCCAATTAAGTAAAGGAAACTCTCAGGTTAGGCAATACAGAAATACAGTTCAACACACACCTTTGATTTAAACTAGACAAATGTTTTGCAGCAACTGTACACATTGATTATATGTTTTGGTCCTTATATTTATCTTTTAAACCCTTTGTTAAGGAATCTATAAACTATGACTTTGAAAGCTGATATCCCATTTTTTAAATGCACATTTCTGTTACTGATCATGTTATTAAAAAGACAGGAACTACTATCACAACAAAATGAGCCTGATGGGTCGAATGGCTTACCCTCACCTGCAGCCTTTCCTCTGCTGTTTTAGTCACACTTCTGTGAAATTGTCTTTGGGATTATCGATGAAGGACCATGGAGATGGTAGGGTTGTAAATGTAGACGATAATACCTGATCTGATGATCAGTTGACTTTCTCTGCATGATCTTAAATATTAACAGACGTACAGTGCTCTGTGTGTGACGCACTTTGGGCTAGAAGTGTAAAGGCACACTCACCACTGCAGGTCATAATGCAGCTTGTCTTCTCTGTCTTCAACTTCCTTGAGGTCATTGTAAAACTTGAGAAGCTGCTGCCTCATCCTGCTGACCTCTGAGTCGGAGCCCTCAGGAAACTGCTCCGCCTGCTCCAGGTCTTGCCTCTGCCTCTCGATCTGCGCAGTGAAGCGCTTGGCATCCTGCAGCAGCCTGATCTCAGACTCCTGTGTCCTGTGCACCAGAATCACAGTAACCAGCACTGCTCAAGTCTGTACTTAATGCAAAACTCTGCTCTCACGTTGATGCATGACAACACACAGCTACATGTCCTGGGAAAATGCACAGTCACATTGCATGTATTTGTTGGACATCCCTGGCTTGACACACTGTGCATGTGATTGAGCGAAGCACTCCTCGGAAGGATCAACATATGCTTTGTCTGGATCCACGGTCATATAAACGTGCTAATCTTCATACACTTGAAGATTAGCTGAATGGAATGATATTTCTTAGAGAGAGATAAACTCTGTTGATGCCATGGGGGTGTGAGCAGAAGAGAACAAAGTGTGAGAAATCAAATGCATTCATCCAAAAAATGGACGAGCTTGGAATTTAACCTCTTTTCATATGAGCGTGAGTCTGCATATTGATGGGTCATAAACATCGCAATGTATTATTCTGAATAAGACATCAATTAATTTGTATTTTGAGGATGTTCGAGTGGGGAACTGTGTCAGCATCCTGGCTGCAAAGGAACAAATACAGGTTAATTTTTTACGGTATTTCATTTTTCTTTTCAACACTCAATTAACCTTAGTCTGTATTTTGTTCTTTTTGAGAAAAATATAATGCTAAACTACTGCAAATGCTTGTATATAATGTAGTAGAGTAGTGTGTACATACTTATTGTACTGTGGATTTAAAAAAAGAAGAAAATATTACTGAACACACCGTTCTTGTAAAAAAAACACAAGATTTTGTCAATTTCCACAGGCAGTTGAAGGACAGTGTTCTGTATTAAATAGCACCAGGATACTGTAGATGCAGGCAAAGTGCCCAGGTAATAGAAGCACTCGGTTTAAAGATGTTAAATGCTGATGATTTCTAACCTTTTTAATGTGTCATGCAGAAGGGTGTAACTGGCTTTCAGTTCAGCAGCTCTGGTTCCAGGGATTTTCCCAGCAGAGAAAAGCTATAAAATAGTAACAACAACAAAAATAATAAGGGGTGAACAAATGTATCCTACCACTTTCAACAGCTTTTACTGTTAAACTATTATACCAAACAAAATAACGGAATAAGCATGGTACAGTAAAACATATATTAAGCAACTAAACCAACACCAGAAAAATTTAAAAGGAAAACTGTTGGTTCAGATACTTTTTCCCCAAAAAAATATATTGCTTTAAGAAATTGATATACTGTATTTACTAGGAAGTATAAACAATACAATGTGCTGTACAAGTCTCGGAACCAACAGCAATGGTTGCATTTTTAGTGCATGTTTGACAACCACATTCCAACGAATGCATTTCCCTTTTGTAGCAAATACAGTAGAACAGTATTTCTCCATGGCTCATGGAGGTCAACTCAATAATGGTAGCTCATTTAGGGAATAATGCCAGGAATTAGCATTATCCACTGGTCTGCTAATAGCAATATGATGTACAGAGTATCTTTCAGCATACAGTACATGTATCCTTTGTTTCAGGACTTTCCCTCCAATGTTTTGGACTTCATCACAGTTTACAGAAAGAGAAAACATCTGTGTTTGTTGCAATAACAAAGAAGAAAAAATGCAAAACGATTTTCCAACTATTCTGCAAGTAAATACTTCCAGATTTTTAAACTTCTGACCTGCTGAAACCCCAGTGATTAGCATGTGAAGATAAAAGAGACTCGGCAGTTAGTCCTAGGTACAAGATAAGTCTTTATATAAAACTTCTTTTTGTTTTCCATGTATAATGTTAAGATTTAAGCTGCGGAATGTCTATTATAACTGACAGAATCAAAGTCTAATTTTACAGTGTTTAGAACAGCTGGAAGGCTATTACATCAGTAGGTGATGTCAAAACCTCACTAAATGTGCAGAGCAATACCAGTATGTACAGTATATGTCGGTTAATTAGCCCCAGCTTTGGAAATTGAAAGCTTGCATCTTAATTAATATCCTAAATATCCAAGGCTATGGATTATAATTAGATGTGTAGTAGAGATTCAAAATAGCAAAATACCAAAGCATATAATCAGCTTGAAGGTTTCCTGTTCCTATAGTACACAACAGTACTGTACACAAGGCACATGAGTGCTGAAATCCCTTTTGTAATTTACAGAGGATTTGGATTGCTTCATGAATTTCATTAAATGTGAGCAAAAAAGGAAGTTTAATACAGAAATTCAGGAAATCATGTTTCAGCATTTTCCAGTTATTGTGAAAGTATAAGCATCAAAACATTAACGATGAATTAGAATTACTAGTAAATGTAATAAGCCATCATTTCATTGGAATGATAGTAGGAATATTCCACTGCAGGACAATATCTGGGTTCATCATACCACACTTTCACCCAAGGCAGTTACGTGCTATTGTAACACGAACTGCTAAATCATTCATTCACCTCAATGCTCAAACATTTATTTAAGTTAAATACTGTACTACACATTCTAAATATATTGCATGGGCTCTATGGAATTTTGGCATTTATATTTTGCTGTTCTTTCTTATGTACAATTTTTCAACAATTACAAATGAAATATCAAACAACCTGCTCCATTAGAAGAGCTAATCAAGTGTGTCCATTCTATCGCTACAATAACCCGTTTATGGGCATGTAAATGAACTGGCTACTGTACATCTGACCACAACTGGCCATGACGAATTTGATGGTACAGTATCCCTGCACCAGTCCTGGAAATGACCCTTTCTGCCCTGGATAGGATGCCAATCCATCACAGGGCTAGTGAGAAAGAGAAATGTAGAATAGCCAATCAGATCTAGCCAAGACCTCTTTGGAGAGAGAAGGAAATCAGAGCTGCCAGAGCAAACCTACATTAACCAGGGGAGAGCTGTATATACAGTACAGACTCCACACATAAGGCACCAAAGCCAAAGCCAAACACTGCACCCAAGAGAAGTGAGGCAGGAATATATACTATATACTGTACTTAGGCAGTCAGCTAATTCTCTGTCATGGGCTCTCCTGCAGAGCCCTGCTGTGTGGTTCCAAACACCTGATCTTTCTCAGGAGCAGCTTCGTCATAATCACAGTTTCTTATCATGTAAATGTAGCCTGTGCTCATGATAACTACATATGACACTCAATCATGATCTTTACATATCCTCTAACATTGGAAACAAATGTGAATTTTTCAGTATGAAGTGAGAAAAAAGGGTTAGCTTGAACAAAAACAGGGAAATTAAAGAGAGCAGAGGAGACCTTTAACCATAAGGCTTTGACAATTGTTGAGGGCACGCATGATGATGCTGTACCCATTTTCAGTAATGTATGCGATTTATTCTTAGGCTGCATTCAAATTAATGAATATCAAGAAAGGCAAGATGTGACTAAAAAAAATGTGTTTTCTGGTGGGATGAAAGAATACATATCACCACATCCACAAATATAAAAATGTTTTGAGAAACATACTGTATGTAATAACAGACAACTGCATAATGCCTGAAGAGAAATGCTGGCTAAAATGGTAAAATTGGGATTCCATCTGATGAAGATGCTGTTTCTAAAACAGAACTACTTGAATAAGAACAAACTTCTGTTTTAAACAATCCCTGGGGTTTTGTCAAAAGTGTGATTTCTGTCTCGACCCAGGTATTTATGGGTCAAATGGGTATGTCTGGCTCTCAATTGAAATACAAGTTTCCCTTCATTTTGCAATCAATGACAGAAGAAAAATCAATACGTATAGATTTCTTAGTTAGGTGAGGAGCAAACGTCAGCTTAAATATCACTTGTCTATTCCACCCTGACGCTGGGGGAGAGACTCTGAATAAAAATGCTTAAGGTCAGCAGGTAGAGCTTTATTTTCACCCTGCACTGCAGTTGCCATGCTAAACAGTACTGACTCATACTGGAAGTTCTCGAAAAGAAATAATTACATCATGCTTTAGGATACTTTATCTGAAAAAAAACCAAAACAAACATCTGTTTAACATCTACACTAGTTACAAAACAACTTGGAAGAGTTTTATAGATTTGGGAATCAGTGGATTCTTTTTTTCCCTGTGTGCCTCACAACAAAATTACTTTTTTAGCTTTTTAAGTCAAGGGGTATAGATTAGGAAAACAATGTTTTAATATAACAAATAATACAGATGGAAAATGAAAAAGAAAAATGCATTATCTAGTATGCATTACTACAAGGATGATGTTGCTAAGTGTGCTATCTACACTGACCTCTACATGAATAAGGAAACCAAACTTGTACTGACTTACAGTGAAGTCTGTCTGGCACATGTCTGAATTACTCTAGCACCACTATCTTGGAAACTGTTTGATCCATCTGAGTTTCACCCATTTCCAGTAAAAAATAATTTTTGCTTCTTAACTCAGAGTTAAAAAAAATGTTCCAGCATGTAACTTATTTTAGGAGCTTCCAGCTCTGCTTCTACTAAAGGACTTGGGGGAAGTGCAGTGTGCAGTCATTAGCATTGGATCTAATGGTGGAAGAAGCAATGATCATACATATAATTAAGAACACGTACAGTATAGTCAGAAAAGACTTTGTGGTGCCTGTTTTTACACAGCAGAAAAGATTACTGTAACTAACACTGCTAACACATGGTTGGCAAAATGTATTCAATCTGTTAGGAACAGGATCAAGTGGTGATGCCTAATTTATTGCTAGAAACACTTAGGTTTGCAGATGAGATCTGGAAGTGTTTGCATAACACAAAAGGTACTCTTGAGATAAGGAACAAGTAACAGGTTTATTCTAAGCTGAAGAGAGAAGAAAGAAAGCACGTTTCGGCTGTGGAGCCTTCTTCGGGTGTTGGGTGTATTCCTTCTTCTCTTTTCAGCATGGAATAATCCTATGACTTGTTCCTTTGCAGCCTACACATGCTGATGCAGCTACCCACCTGAACTACTCTTGAGATAAGGCTGAACAAGGATTATGTATCTTCAGCCTTCTGAACCCCCTACTGTACGGAGTTTAGAGGACAATTCCTATGAAGACATACATATTATTTTTTAGAATGTAATTCATACATATGCCAACATTACCAGAACATCGCAAAGTCAGGAGGATTTGTGAAGGATCATGGAAGGTTCATACATACTGTACTTAAAGGGAAAACCTTGTGCTAATGTTCTTTTTAATGATTTCTGGATTATAAGTACAAATACTAGCCTAGATGTAGGCAGTGTGTAGATATACGAAATTCTGCATCTCTTGTTGCTTTGGGCAGCAGTCTGGAGGAATAGTAAGGTCTACAGTCTCAGAACTAGAAGGGTGTGGGTTTGAATGGTGGGCCCAGCTGCTGTACTACTGAACAGATTGCTTTAAATAAAACTGTGGTCCAATTAAAATAATAAAAATGTTTAAAATAATATTAATCTGGGATTTATTAATATCTTGGAGAATCTTGGATTCAAGACCTCTAGTGGGTGTAGCTACATTTACTCCTAGTTCACCCTGCAGCATAAGTGCACTCTGCCAAACATGAGCTGTGTCATTTTTAGTCCTTTAGCCCTAGACAATGAGGAAAGAAAGATATCCAGCCTCCACTGGTACACAGGACATTCCCTAACTCTGACTCTGTCAGGGAAATCAGTTGCAGCAGAATGGACATGACATTTAGCCTTACTGTATTTGTGCCAGTTCTTTTCAACAGACTATGGAAGATCGTACTATATATGGCAGGCTTCAAAGCATTCTCTTGTCAGTAATTTATTAGCACTTTTACTGGGTTAAAAGTTAATTTCAAAAAGGGTGTTTAATTGAATAAAGTCAAGCGTTAAATCCTCTAGTTTATAAAGTCAACAGCTCAAAGAAATTGCACAGGATTAATTATAATGTTAAGAAATTCTTGTAAGAGACTTCATTAATACTGGTAGCTGTGCAAAGCTTTCAGCATGACAGACCGAGTAGGTTGTTAGCAAGAAGACTAAAACACAATCTCTGTGTCTTTGACATCTACAGTATTAATCTAAACCGAGAATGCCGATGTAGCTTTGAAGTTAAAAAAATGTTCCACTTTTATGTCTTATCACAACTCGTAGAACTCTGAATCAGAGCTAGACTATGCTAATCGCAAAAAAATATTATAACAAGTTTAATCTTCTTTTGAAAAAATGTCACAAATCTTTCCTCTTTATCTTAAAAGATGCTTTTGAATTAGTTAAGACTATTATTCACCCAGCATTCAGATATTACAACATAGAAGATGTGCTGAGGATTCAGAAAATAAAATACTGTATATAACACTCTATTTTATGATCTTCAGCTTAACGTTCGTTGAAGGATTGATCTAGTAGCTGTAGCTCACTTGTGACATGCTACTACAACCACCAGGCTGAACAAAGAACATGTGTAGATAACTCTTGAAATCTTGAAGCTACAGATGATTTCCTCCCCTTCCTGTGGTATTCAATGTTATGTGCGGAATTCTTCAGAAAAGATAAGTAATGTCCATTGTGATGAAAAAGAATTTTGTAGTAGCACTCAGTTGTGAACGCTGAGAACTGAATGAGCATCACTGTTGCATTTCAGCATATTGTTCACACACAATTCAAGTGTACTTCTATTACCTGTCGGTACAAACTCCTTTCTTTCAGTTTTGTAGGTTTGGAGAAGCCAATCTTAACTTTGGGACATTTCATTAAAAATATACATACAGTACATCTGAAAGACTGCAAGAAAACAAGCCATGGTTGTTTTGGAGGTGCTCCCTCCTTTCCAACTCTTAACTGTGAACTGCAACAATATTTTTACTCAAGCCACTGCGTCAACTATAACCTCTTCTCTTGTAAATTAGTTTTACCATCTGAGCAATCTTCTTTGTTATGGTCCTCCCCCATATATTGCCAGCAGCCATATCACCCTGCAACTCACAACTGACAACCCACTGAAGCTCAGCAGGTGCGAGCCTGGTCAGTACCTGGATGCGAGACCTCCTGGGAAAAGCGAAGGTTGCAGCTGGAACAGGTGTTAGTGGGGCCAGCAGGTGGCGCTCATCCTGCGGTCCATGTGGGTCCTAATGCCCCAGTATAGTGACGGGGAAGCTATACTGTAAACAGGCGCTATCTTTCGGATGAGACTCTCTGTGGTCATTAAAAATCCTGTTTCTTGAAAAGAGTAGGGGTGTAACCCTGGCATCCTGGCCAAATTTCCCATTGGCCCTTACCAATCATGGCCTCGTAATAATCCACATCTATGTATTGGCTTCATCACTCTGCTCTCCTCCCCACTGATAGCTGATGTGTGGTGAGAGTATTGGCGCACTATGGCTGCTGTTGCATCATCCAGATGGGGCTACATATTGGTGGTGGTGGAGGTGAGTCCCCATTACCTGTAAAGTGCTTTGAGTGGAGTGTCCAGAAAAGTGCTACAGTATATAAGTGTAAGCAATTATTAATTATTATGATATATTTATATGTAGATCTGATGGGCATCCATTCTCTTCCTGTCAAGTCTGGCTGTCCTGGACACATGGCAAATAATACCAAGCTCGAAATCGGTCCCCTGATTACACCAAGTGTGCCAATGTGCCAGCTCGGGCTTGACTGGGAACTCCCAGCTGCTTTGTGTTGTTGTCTTAATGGGCGGCATTAATTTACCAAAAACTGTAAAATAAAAAATAACAGAATAGCAAGACATGCCTATACAGTATATAAGCATTCAAATGATTCTTCCACTTTTCTGCAACAATTACAGTTAGAAAGCTATGGCCATGGAACGATTTACTGAGGGGTCAAAACCCAGATCACCTGTGATGAGCCATTTGTGATAAAAGGGATGTCACTCAGGCCGAGGAACCACAAGAGGCATGGAATGTTTTTTCATGATTGATTTCTTATGGAATGAACCTGAGTTGAAAAAAGAAATTCAGGGGATTTAAAGCAATCACATAAATCAGCCACAGTGAATAAAGGCAGACGGCTAGAGACTGCTAAAGACAGCTACTAGGAAAAATACAGTATTTTGTTTCCCCCCAAACATGGGAAACAATTAAAACTGCCTTACATAATTGTACACGAGAACAAAAAAAAACTTCAAACGTGAAGTTGTTTTGCGCAGCTAAAGCACAAATTAAAAACAATAACTTGAATTCTTTTCATAACAAATCCGAGTGCTTTATCTTTTGCTAAAAAAAAGCTCAGCTATTTTTAAACAACGTTAATAAGGAGTAAGACCTGACATGACACAGCGAAGGCTATGTTTGCAGATTATTAGCAGTACAATGGAAAGTCCAAGGTTTGGAAGAGCTGTCTGCGTGAATGTGCTTCACAGCTCAGACACAGCGTGGCACTTCCTCGGGTCATCCTAGCAGGAGGCAGCCCACCTGACCAGGAGCTTAACCCACACAGTTGTGTACAAGTACTGTACATCGGAGCAAGACTGCTGACGCACAGAGCCCCGCCAGGCCTGCCAAGCTGTGAAGGAATGTTTTACACTTCTTTTATTTAGCACGGCAGTGAGTCCTATCATACATTACAGCACACATAGGTTTATCTGACAGATGACCATGGATATAACTGTTCTCCTGTAGAGGTTATGAAAAGAAATAAGCAGTGTTGTCCTGGCCTTGGGCTAATACGGCCTCTTTGGACATTAATTTCAGTGAGCTAGTGTCAGCTCAGTTTTCAGGTTTCATGTGAAAAGCAGGACATAGTGTTGTTTGGATTTACTCTTCTGTAGCATTTATAGAATTGTGACATTCACATTTCAGTGATGAAATAATATCGGGACCCGGATGGACTGAACATAAATTAAATATGACCGCTGAACAGTAAAGCTCTGAAAGAAGACTCAATAACATGTGCAAGCCTGTGGATTGAATTGAAGGCAAAGTAACAGAGTGACGGGTAGGATTTTTAGACTATATTCTGTTGTCTTCAAGTGTTAATTTTAAAAGCATATTGCATACTTAGGAGCATGTGTGTTTCTGAAAAAAAAAAAGAACAATGTCTTGAACCAGAGCCCCAAGAGAGTAATTCCTATTGAAGAGAGTCATCTCACTGGTCAGAGAACAAGGCTGAGTGACAGGCACTGCAGATCTGCCAAGACCTACGCACTCTTTCCTCGTAGTATTAATATCTGTCTTGCAAACTATTATGCAATAGGTTCCCACCCACCCTTTCCTCAGTTACACTCCTCTCTCTGCCTGTTCTTAATGAGACAGCTATAAAAGTAGGTAGCAGCACTTCAGTTTTCTCCAAAAGCCAATAAGTGCTGTAGTATTAGACAATATGAGGCTTGCCTTGCTCTGTGTGTTTAAGGTTGTGCTGCTGGTCAGCACAGGGAGAATTGGAGATGCAGAAGAAGGAGGACTCAAGGAAGGCAAAGGGAGTGCAGCTTGCCCTGTGAAGCTCAGACCAAGTGCACATTGTGAGGAGGAGGAGGACTGTCCATACCAGGTTACCCTGCCACCCCTCACTATCCAAATGCCCAAGAAGTTCAAGATGCTGGAGAAGACCATGAAAGAGCTGCACAGCCTCAGACAGACAGTGAACAAGCTCAAGAGCTCCTGTCTGGAATGCAAGCAGCAAGCTGACCAGATCCTGCAGAAAGACAGCAGTGAAGGTCCTGGACCGGACCCTACAAGCAATGAGCAGGGCAACAAAAGCCAGCAAAGTACCAGCATCCATGACATGCAGATAAAACTGAACAAGATGTCCAGCAGCTTGAAGAATGCAAGGAAAGAAATCAACAGTCTACAGGGACGCATTGAGGAGCTCAGCCTATTGAACATGAAGAATGTGGAGGCTATGGTCGACAAGAAGGTGAAAAACCTGACTGGGGTGGTCAGCAGCTTAGACAGCAAGTGTTCCAGCGCCTGTCCTGTCATTACTTCACCACAGTGTAAGTCTGTTACTCTGTCTGCTTTAAGTGAGCTATGGCAGGTGTAGCTCAGTAATAAAACATGTATGTCCTATAATTATAATATTGAGATATTATGAACACTTAATATAATATGAGTCTAATAATACTAATAATACTTTATGTACGTTATTAAGCTTACTAATAATGTTTAGTTAGTCTAATAGTGTTAATCTAATGTTTTTTTGTTAGCTGTTTTTTGCTTGTATAATTAGAGCAGTGTCCCTTGGTCAAAACACTGAAAGCTGAACAAAAAAAATGAAAGAGCTAAATCTAAAATCTAAAAAGCATTTCTCACTAACAACAAAAGTTAAACAAAACAGTGAAACATGCATAAAAGAACACATTCTGACCACTGTGCAAAGTATGGTTATTTCTTTCTGATGAGCAAATTAGGAAAGACACTTTTATGGTTTTGTTTTCAAACCATGGCAACAAAAGTGACTTAAAAGTTTAAGAAAAACCATTCAACTTTAATATTCTTCAGGTATTTAGATTGTAAACTGTAGATCATAAATAAAACTATGTTTTGAATTTAAAACAATTCAAATATGGAATTTAAAATAAGAGAATTCTGGCTTATACAATAAAAAAACATTTAAAGTAAAGAAGTAGGTTCTTATAAGAAAAAATACTTAATGTTTTATAATAATAAATACAATATCAAATCAATGGAATCTACTTTAATCTCCAAATAAGAAAAATGTCTCCAGGGCATAGAAAAATGTTTTGCAAAGCTTTGATAAAAAAAAAACCCTTATATAGACTGAACTTGGAGACTGAAAATCATATACTACTTTAGACAGATTCAAATTCAGGGGTCTGGCTGAATGCTCCTTTTATTAATAAAGCTGTTTACTGCAGATAGAAGAACCTGAATTTTTGGAGGGTTAATCTTTTTCTTTCAATTCGTAAGATATTTCTAATCTCCTTTTTGCTTTTAACATACATTATTTTATTGACAGATCTGAACATTAGAACAAAAACTTCTAAACAGTGTATAAACATATGCGATGTAACCTAAAGATTCCCAATTAAAAAATAAATGCGGAACAAAAGTACACAAAATTAAATTACTTTTCTCCATCAAGATGAACAACTAGTAACTTAGGTTTCCAGAAACTGAAACTTGTGGTGTACTGCATATACAGGTACATGGATTTACAGTTCTCTCTTATTATTCTCTCTACTGTGTGTTTTGGGCACACTACTGTGAAAAATTCAATACTTATTAAAGTGTAAAAAGAACATTGAAAATTACATTCAGAAAATGGATGCATTTAAATAACAAAAATAGTTACATAAAGTTAGCCCTCGGGACTTTTAGCAATAGTACTCTTCCTTTTAAAACCGAAACACTTCCCTTGTTTTCAGGCGAGTTGCTTACTAAGGTACACAAGCTCTACAATGCATTATCCTGTCAGAGTGCAGGACACAAGAGGGAACACCCTGATGACTTTTGGCTGATATTTTGTCATGTTCTTAGCAATCAGATGGAAGCAGCTTGAAGGGAAAGATCGCCTCATTCTGCTCTGTCCTCCCCTTTCCCTCATTCAATAGAGCCCAATCGCTCCTTTCACTTGGAAAACATCTTTTCAGAGAACACAAACATCTTGAAAGGAACCTGAAAATGTACACGGTGATTGGCTTAGGGCTGTAGTTTTGCACCTTTTTACACTCATGTTCCCGGACACTCTGCTAATGCAACTCAAATTGCTGCTCCTCAGCCGATACTCATCTGGCTTAGGACTGAGGTTTTTCAAAATGGTACTGATGATGTACAGATGAATGCTGGGATAATGCCAATTTGTTTCTTTGAACCTCTCCTACGAGCTTATTTATTTTAATCTTCTGTGGCATGACAAAGAAGTCGGACCATTAATATCATTGAAGAAAAGAACCCCAGAAATCCACAAGTTAAAAACTGCACTATGGCTGCGGAGGCTTTTATTATAGTGTTTTTGTACAAAAACAATTAAAGACATACTATAGAACAATTCATGATCTTTGTGAATCATAACAGATGTTCATATTAAAGTGGCATTTTTACAAGGGTGTACATAAATGCAATTTACATTACCGTAATAGCCAACTCTGGACCATTTCAAAGCTGTCGTAGCAGACTGTGATACTCTCACAGATAACGCAAACAAACAGCACTAAAAATCACATATTCGTCTGAGACAGATGTTCAGGTCCAGGGGTCTAGCTGAATGCTCCTCTTCATAATAAAGCTGTTCATTGTAGTCCAGTGGAAGACCTTAAACTGTTACACAAGGACATTTTCACAGGGCTATTATTTGTATTTAAATATATAAAATATTTCTAGTCCATTCCCCTTTTTGCACTAAAACTTTCTTTTTTTAAACTTTTCAACAGTTATAATAGCGCCAAGAGACTGCTCCGATTACAACGTCCTGGAAGAGAAGAAGAACGGGGTCTATAAAGTCACCCCTGACCCCAAGAACGGTACCTTTGATGTCTACTGCGACATGGAATCTTTCGGTGGAGGCTGGACCGTGATCCAGCATCGCTTCAATGGCAGCGTGAGCTTCAACCGCACGTGGGCAGAGTACAAGAACGGCTTTGGGGCGGTCCAGGGGGAGTTCTGGCTGGGCAACGACAAGATCCACCTGCTCACCAAGGCCAAGGACATGATCCTGCGGATCGAGCTGGAGGACTTTGAAGGAGTGCGGGAGTACGCCAAGTACGAACAGTTCTACGTCTCCAACGAGTACCTTCGCTACCGACTATCAGTCAGTGGCTACTCTGGCACTGCTGGGGACGCCCTGCACTTCAGCAAGAATTACAACCACGACCAGAAGTTCTTTACCACCCCTGATAAGGACAATGACATGTACCCCTCAGGGAACTGTGGTGCCTACTATGGCTCGGGCTGGTGGTTTGATGCTTGCATGTCTGCAAACCTGAATGGCAAATACTACCACAAAAAATACAAGGGGATCCGAAATGGGATCTTCTGGGGCACTTGGCCGACTCTATCGGATGAACACCCGTCAAGTTACAGACAAGTGTTTAAAACAGTAAAAATGATGATCAGACCTAAAAAATATGCACCGTAGGACGTGAGCGCTCGTCTGCTGACATCCGAATAACAATAGCAAACTTCAGCAAGTTCAGAACACTTCACATCACACCAAATTTCTAAGTAAAAAAAAACATTCTTAATAGCACATTGTTAATTCTGTTAACACAAAAATGTGAAGCAAACCTTACTGTTACAATCCTTCTTCTCCTGAATGTAAAATGTTCCAGAAATATTAGTATGAGATACAAATCTATTTGCGACACATCTCAGAAACTATTCATATTTGCTATAACAGGAAAAAATAAAGTATAAGAAGAAAAGTTTACAAAGGCGAGCAGGCCAGTCAGCCTATCTAGCCCGTTTTGTTGCTAATAGTCATGTGATTCAAACATCTCAATCCCACATTTGTTTAGAAGTAGAAACATCAAACTATAGCCAACAAAGAGAGCCAAAGTGTACAAACCTAATTTCTGAAAACAATTGAATCAAGTTGTACAGAAAAAAAAATGATAAGAATTATGTGCTTCACCTCCGCACAGTACGCTTATGGCATTTTAAACTAGCAGCTTGACAAGCTACCGAAAGCATCCATGAAAGATGGTTACTAAGCTTAAAAACTGCCTCTGCTTTTTTTGTATTTTAATCAAATCACAATACAGCTTCAAAACACAATTACTAGAGTTGATGTTTTTGTAAGGAGACTGTTATGAGATACTATATTTTATACAATACTGCCACCTTTTGTTGGTATAACTGTAATATCCTTTTTTGTTCAGGTAGAAAAATGTAGAATGTCCTCAAAGAAAAAGTGTACAGTATTTATTTTTGAAAGTAGGACCAGAGCGTAATTTAATATATAAAATGCTGAGCAGCCCAAACTGAGAGCTGACAAATTAGAATGAATGCTTCTCTGAGGTTTTGTTTATGATAGTGTTGTGAACTACAGAAGGAAATGCATTATAAAACACATTCATGAGGTTTCCTGGATAAATAAGGTAAATGACTCATTAAAAATATTCCTGGTTGAGAAATGTTTTTAGAAGGACAACAGTCAGTGTGTGCTGAACTGAAAAACATAGAGACTGAGCTTGGTTTAACCATCTTGACTGAGAAAGACTAACTGTGCTTTCTGAACGACAGAATTATAATTTTGAAGAGTGAGACTGGAATAAAGTGCTTTGTGTACAGAATGGGTTTTTTAATTAAATTATGTATATTAGAGCTTTTAAATCATATTAAAACAATGCAGGTGGAAAGTAAACAAACAATAAAGGTTTTTGTTAAAAAATTGTACTGAAACTGTCCGTCCATGCATTTAATAATGGTAACTGCTTTATCCAACACAAGGTTGCAGAGGAGTCCTGGCAAGCAACAGGCACAGGGTGGGATACAACATCACAGGACGCACAGATACACACACACACTCACACACACACACACTCACACTCACACTCACACTCACACTCACACTCACACTCACACTCACACTCACACTCACACTCACACTCACACCAGGGCCAATCTTCCCAAAATCAATTGACCTATCGGTATGTATTTGGACTGTGGGAGAAAACCCTAGCATCTGGAGGAAAAACATGTGAAAGTGCAAGCTCCATGCAAATAGCAACGAGGAATTGAACCCAGGGCCCCAGAGCTGTGAGGCAGCAGTGCTAACCTCTGCACCTCTGTCTTTTTTGCTTAATTGAAATAATATATACAGTATTTTATCAAATAAATATAAAATGCTAAACTCTAAGAGTTCACTAACAGTATGTATTCATCCGTCGCTACTTGTGTACGCAATACAGTAAATGATTAAATTAAACATGTGAGACTTCTCACAGTAAGACATCTTACTGTTGCTAATAATAATAAAAGCCAAACAACACATTAGAGTTCACGGGTTAAGAACTGATTTGCCCTTTAGCTATAACAACACCCTCTTACTTTAACTGATTTATTATACATTAGCACATAATCTAGAAAATGTAACCTCCCTTCACTGCAAAATACTTTTCCAAACTGACCTCACCCACCCTAACTTAAGTACAGCTGTTGCTTATCAAGCAAGAAGATTTCAATAGGACCTCATCTTAATATTTAAACTTGCAATAAGAAAACTTTGTGCCACATCATGAATATCACATTCCCACAAGCGCAAACACAAATTACAGTAGCGACACCTTTTTAATCTACTGTACATGTCATCTAGTGGAAAAACACTTAATTGCCACCCACAACAGTGACATTTCATTTTAGCAGCCTGCTGTTAAGTCTTTCTATTTATTCAAAGATTAACAGCACACTTAATACTCAAGATACATTATTATTAATCTGTTTTACCTGGATTATTTCTTCCAATTTTGCCATTTTACAGATTGCATGCAGTGATACGATTATTTAATTTAATTGAAACGTGATATTTCTGGATGATGAAATCTAATTCAGAAACCCCAAAAGCCTCTAATTTCTCATTCATTTGAGTCCATACTATTTATCTTTACCAGAAATAAGATGTACCTACTCGCAGCCACTAAATGTCATTATGCAGTATTTTACCACATTCCAACGCACAGATAAACCTTCAATGATGATAAATACCTCATTCAAGCACTGAATTGCAGGGCTTGCAGACACATCTGCCGGTCGCTCTTCCTGAAGGTCTGCACGAGGAGCCAGGGCAGACAGGGGCGTCTCATCTGGGCTTTCATCCTCTTCCTCACTTGGAGGGTTGCTCTCCTCACTGTGACTCATGACAAAGGGATTCTGTCTGGGACAACATAAGAACGTAATAAATGTTACAGATGAGAGCAGACCACACAGCTCGTTCTAGCTAAGAGATTCAAGGGTCTCATCTCATCATTGCTTGACAGAAGACAGGGTGTAAGATTCCAGAAAATGGTGGGGTAGCTTGTTACGGACTCCTACAATGCTTGAGTAAAAAAAATGGTTGTGTAAGCAAGTAACATTAAAGCTTCCTGATGTTTACAATTCTTTAAAAGGTAGACCTACACCTACGCCTCATCCCTCTGAAAAGAGAAAGTCAAAGAATATTTAGCCTAGGGCATTTGAAATCTTTGATGAGCTTATCTTTTAAACGAGTATGCACTAGATTCTCATTAATCAATTAAAAGGGTGGCTTTGTAGGAAAGATAGTTATAATGCAGTGCACAAAATGCAGTGTGTAAAACAGAGCACTGAATGAATGGATGTTTAGGCTTAAGTGGCCTAAAAGTCTGAAACATCTAATACATTTTAGGTTTATTTGTTAATATGCTTTTGATTTTAAAGACCATGGCAAGAGTTTGAAAGTTAAATCAGGTGCCATAGGTTTACATTTATACAGGGCTTACCCTAAACATTCAAGACATTATAAAACATTTTACATAACTAAAAAATTATGCCATGCAGAAGTAACCAGGCAAGCCAACCAAAGCTAATGATCTAGCTTTGATGAGTCAGTCTGTGTCTTTGATAGGTTACTAATGATTTAAAATACGTCAGGCTTTGTTACGGACAATTAAAACATTGAACAGCAGGTAGGCAGGGCTCCCTCCTGCTAGATTACAGAGAAGAAAGTCTTGCATAATGTGCCCATTAAGGTTCCCACTGCACAGCGGAACATTGATTTAAGAAGAATGGGTTCGTTAAACTCTGGCCCACCTCCAGGTCTCACCATGATCATTCAGTGTTTCAGTGTGGTCGGTTTTAATGAAAATTTGGCAGACATACTTTTTAATGAAGGCAGCCTTATACAATTATATAAATTAAGTGCTTTGGTGTTAACAGTATTGAGAGAAAATTACGTATCATGGCTCAGCTAAGTACAAAATCTCCTTTACTTCTTTCTTCTCCATACTCTAATTCCAGTTCATCAAAGAGGAAACAGGAAAATGGAACATACAGTGGAATACTGCAAAATGAATATGCAGAAGTAAATGTATAACTGTTGCTCAAAATTCACATAAATGTATGTTACATACGATATGATTTACATTATATGATGTAATACCTTATTGTCTGATTTCTCACAAATTTGTTTACATCCAAGCAGCTAGTTTTATACACCGAGACACAAAACACATACTAATAGAACAGATAAATATAACATTAAATAAAGCAAAACAACACATACTGTACATAGTCATTACACACCACTCCTAAAGGAATCCACGCAATTTACCAGAACCTGTAAATTGACTCACTCTTCAATCAGCTCGAGCC